CTCAATGTCTCTGCCACGGCTTCCACCCACCCTGCATGGCCACGGGACACAGACCAAATCAGGCAACTGAATACGGATGCAAAGTCCTGGATCCCATTCCATATTACAATGATCCTGTTGTCCCGGTACCATCTTGCACACGCTTCCCTTCCCCCTCATGTGTGGTCTCACGTCCCGCTGTTGGTATGGACAGCCACCTGTGTTGTCCCCAGTACCAATCATAACCACAAAGAATGTGATGTCTGAAGGGAGGAATGAGGGGCAGGGTGGTCCAGCACAGTCCTGTAGTGGAAACCCTCTGACCCCGCTCTGGGCTGGTCCTGTCACAGGGCACAGAAATGGTCCACTTCTGGCCAGTTCCTGGAGCCCTAGTAGAGAGGTGTGAGTCCCACAGGCCATTGAGAGCATTGACTCTGGTGCAGAGATGTGTGTGTGTGTGTGTGTGTGTGTGTGTGTGTCTGCTTGTGGGGATACACACGGCTGTCTGTACCAGATGCTGGCACATCTGTCAGTCCAGATGGGCCCTTGCTGTCACGGGCCTGTGCTGCCCTGGCCACGCTTAGCCCACATGGTCAACACCTTCCCTCCTGCTCTCGGGTCATGCAAAGGCCTCCGGGCGCCTCCGAGAACAGCCCAGCCCTCCTGGGTTCTAGGCTGTACTGCCCTTGGGGCCCCATCTGGGACTTGCCAGAGCCTGGGGTTCTCCCTGCCTCCGAGCCTCAGCAAGCCACCCCCACCCCGCTCCCCAACCAGCTACCCTACCCTCTCCTTGATTCCATGTTTTTTATGAGGGAGCCAACCAGTTGTCCATGGTGAGGACCCCAAGAAGCGGCCCATCTGGAAAGAGTATGTGGGACATGGAGAGATGACCCCATGCAGAGTCACTGACCCCAACCCATTGAGCAGGCCAGCACATGGACTGATGTGGGAACCTCTGCTCTCAGGGGTCTTCATTTCAATACGGGCCCTTCCCTCTCTTGAGGGGGCCCATCATCCTAAACCCAGGCCAAAGGCCTCAGGTAAACCTACCCAGGCCGGCGTGAGTGCATGTGGCCGCCCTGTAAGTGGAACCTGGGGAACACAGCCACCATGAAAGAATCATGAGCCTGAGCCCAGGCCTGCATTCAGGAACGGGGTGGGCGTGGCAAGAGGATGAGCCGGCTGAGGAGACGGGGCGGGGGGGGGGGCCTGTATTCAGGAGCAGGTGTTGGGGGGAACCGGCTGGGGAGACAGGGACCTGCATTCAAGGACGAGGTTGGAGGGAGCCGGCTGGGCAGGGAGGTGGGCCAGGCTGGGGACTGTTGAGGAGCAGGGAGGGCGCTGGCCAGGGAGACAGAGGGCTTGCCTGGGGGACTGCGTTCAGGAAGAGAGAACACCTACCAGTGAGACAAGGGGGCAGGCAGGGGGGCTATCAGGAACTGGAGGGCCCAGCTGAAGAGACAGGGGCCAAACTTGGGCAGCCTGTGTTCAAGAACAGGGATGGTAGTTGAGGAGACAGTGCAAGGCTAGCCAGGGAGCAGGTACCTGGACACATGAGGGACTCGGGACAGGAGAGGTCCAGCCCTTGTTGAAGACACAGCCCAAGAGTCCCCTAGAATGGTAACAAGGTGGCTGGATTGTACGGGGCCAGGTCAGGGACAGAGATGCCAGCAGGACCAGAGTGGCCAGCACTGGGGCTGAAGTCGGGCTCAGGGTGTGGGCAGGCCACCCTCTGGCCCCCTAGGAACTCTGCGTGGTGTAATCTGAGGGCAGGAGTCTCACCTGTCCTGTCCTGTGTGGTCCCTCGTCCCCTGGCCACCCTCCCTCAGCCACGTGCACAAACAGCTCACGCCGCCAGCATCTGTGTTGCCCGGGCATTGGGCCTGGTGCACACACTGGTTGCCATGGCAGCAGGCAGCCTGCCAGCAGAGCCAGGCTGGACGCCTGTGTCCAGGTCTAGCGGTCTGGACAGGGCACCTGGCCCTTCCCTATAGCCCCAAGAAGGCCTGTCTTGTGGAGAGGGGCAGTGGGTCCTGTGGGGGCCAGCCCACTCATCCCCTGAGAATCTCAGAGGATGTTTCCTGAGAGGCCAGGGCAAGAAGATGAACACAGGGTGGGCACCTCCCCACAGCTGGGACTTTCAGGGGCCTCTGTCTTGGTCCTCAGCAAGACTCCCATGACAGGCAGGCTGAATTTGGACCCTGGCCTTGCCTGCTGGGAGGTCCAACAGCCCCGCAGCCCCTCCCTCAGTACCTCCCTGCCCTGGAGGAGCTCCACCCATTGTGCCTCCTGGATTAGGACCCTGGGGTGCTGCTCCCCAAAATGGCACTTGGGTGTCCCTCAGGAAAAGGAGCCCCCCTCCAATCAAACCTGTGTGCTTATAGAGATGGCCCCACTGTGGGGACAGATTGCAAAGTGCCCCATTGGGCCCCAGATCCTGCTAGATAGGCCTGTCAAGTTCCAGGGGCACACTCCTCAGGTTGGAGGGCACTGCCAGGCAGGCCTGTGAGGTTTGTGGCAGACACTGTAGTCCCAGTGTGAGGATGGTCCCTCTGTGTCCACCCCTCAGTATCCTGCAGAACTCAGGTTCTCAGTGTTTGGGGGCACGGCTCAGGTTAGGGCACCACTTGCACAGCTGCACTGGCCACAGCCTCCAGCATGCACACTGCTTTTTAGAGCTACCGCCTCACACGCACAGGAAACCCGGAGTCCTGAGGGATGGGGTCCCTGGAGACTCAAAGGGAGGCTAGACTGAGCCTCATGGCATCGTGTACACGTGTGGTCCACTGTGTGTCACTGTGTGCGTGCACATGCATCCGATCCACTGTGCATACACACGTGTGTGTCTGGGTGCGTGTACATACAGTGGAGCACACACGTGTGTATGCACAGTGGACCGGCCGCGTGCGGGACGCACAGCAGATAGCACGCGTGTGTGCTGCATTCACTCCCAGAGGCTTAGTTTGTCGCCCCTACACCTGAGGCCACCTCAGACCATCCAGACCCAGATTAATTAGGCCTTGCTGAGGGGTCACAGTGGGGAGGAATCTGGGCCTGCAGGGGCTGGGCAGAGGGGTCAGGAGAAGCTGGAACTGGGCTCAGGCTGCAAACCCCAAGGCTCCTAGGCCCCATTCAATCACACACTCGGTCAGAGCGGGGAACACCCAGCATCTGGCAGTTTAGGGGCCCTGCCCTGAGGGGCTGCCCAGAGCCAGGCCTCTTAGCGCCTGGCATCATGCTTCTGCCGGGCACCTGACACCAGGCAGGTAGTGTTAACACGGACATTACTCTAATCAGAGGACAGGGGGCGCCATCATGTTCGGCTTACAGGGAGCTGGTGCTGAGGAACGGTGTGCACCTGGGAGTGTGGACGCATGAGTCTACCAGCCACCTTGGAGGGGCTGCAGAGGGAACACAAGGGGAACTGAAGGTGGACTTGATCCAAGTTTCCTGGGGACTGAGGGGACACGGTCGACATGTGGGGATCAGACAGTGTCTTCCTGGGGGACACAGGACATAGCTCTGTGAACACACAGTTGATGCCCCCCCACATGTGAGCTGCAGGGCAGTGGACAGAGCCAGCTGGTGCAGATCCCAGTGGGTGGGCAGGCTATGGGGTGCGCAGAGGCCCAACCTGCCTCCAGCCCCAACCCTCTGTGTCCTACAGAACCAAAAAAACCTGAGTTCACTAATTGTCCTGAGTCCCACTCAGACCCCCAGAGCCCCAGCACAGGTGAGATCTGAGGGCATGGCTGGGAGCCCCTAGGCCTGGCCCCAACCTGGTCCCCAGGGAGCCAGGGTCACCCCACTAGGAGGAAGAGGACACCACTCTGCCCGCCCCCCCAGCCCAGGATAGCCAGCTTCAGTTTCTCCTACTGGCTCCCCGCCCCTGAGGCAGGTGCCGAAGCTGGGCAGTGTCAGGGCCACCAAGGTGGGGGTATGACTGCCTGCAGGCCTGGGCCCTCAGAGCTGGGGCTCACCCCGTCCCACTCTAGACCCCTCCCCACTCTGGACCAGCTGCTACAAAGGCTTTGCACACAGATCACCCCTTGGTTGGCGAGCCCAGTATCTGGTCCCCAACGTGCAGAAGGTTCTTGTGGATGGCAGGGCTTGGTCACCAGCCCCATCTGCCGAGCAGGGCAGCCCCTCACCCCTGACACGAAGGATTCATAGAGGTTGGCAGACACAAGTCCTTGGACTCCCGCTGGAAGGTCTGGGCCGCTTGGCTGCAATCTGCCCACATGTGTATGCTGGGGCTCTGCATCCCCCACCTTCCTGAACCAAGGACACCAGGCGCTGTGTCCACCCGGCAGCCTGTCCAGTCCACACAAAGGGCTGTGATACCAGGCCAGCATCCTAGCACAGCTTCCAGGAGCCACCAGGAAGTGCCCAGTCCAGTCCCAGCCTCCTTCTTGGACGGGATATCCCACCAGCTACTCCAGCCTGGGACTGGGGGCCAGCCCGGGTATGAGATCCAGGGCTACAGGCCGGAGCACCTGGACCCTGCTCTGAGTGTTGCACCGTGAGGGGGGCCTTCCTGGTTCCTGGCAGCAGGAATCAGAGAGCAGAAGCCGGTAACCGGATCCACCAGCAGGAGCGTGCAGTGCGCACGGGCTCTGATCAGGTTGCTCCCACGCTGCAAGTTTTCCACGGCAAATCCTCCCCAGGACCGAACCCCACACGGCCAGGCTGCACTGAGCGGGCAGGCCACGTGGGCTCCAGGGTCTGTGCGGGGGACCACAGGGTGGTGGACAGGCCTCCAGCCAGGGGCCATCCAGCCTGCAGGCTGGGTGCGGGGGCTGCGGCTGTGACTGCGACGGTGGCTGAAATCCAAGCTGGGGTAATTAAAGGGCCAGGGCCGCGGTCCCTAAGCCGGCCACCTCCGGCCCGCCCCGTCCCCGCCCTCCGCCTGCCGGCCATGTAAGCGGTGGCCGCGGGCAGAGCGCGGGGGGCGAACCCATGACGCCGGGGCCAGGGGGCCACGGGCCAGCCGAGCGCCGGGCGCCCTGAGCGCCGCCACCATGCCGACCAACGGGCTGCACCAGGTGCTGAAAATCCAGTTCGGGCTGCTCAACGACGCCGACCGCTACCTGACGGCCGAGAGCTTCGGCTTCAAGGTCAACGCCTCGGCCTCCAGCCTCAAGCGCAAGCAGGTGTGGGTCCTGGAGCCCGACCCCGCGCACGGCGCCGCAGTCCTCTTCCGCAGCAGTCACCTGGGCCGCTACCTGGCAGCCGATGAGGACGGGCGCGTGTCCTGCGAGGCCGAGCGGCCGGTCCCCGGCTGCCGCTTCCTGGTGCGGCCGCAGCCCGACGGGCGCTGGGCGCTGCAGTCGGAGCCGCACGGCCGCTTCTTCGGGGGCACGGAGGACCAGCTGTCCTGCTTCGCCACTGCCGTGTCCCCAGCTGAGCTGTGGACGGTGCACCTGGCCATCCACCCGCAGGCCCACCTGCTGAGCATCGGCCGTCGGCGCTACGTGCAGCTCTGTCCGCGCGAGGAGGAGATGGCTGCGGACAGTGACACGCCATGGGGCGTGGACGCGCTGGTCACTCTCACCTTCCAGAGCCGCCACTACTGCCTGCGTGCCCGCGACAGCCGCTACCTGCGCAGTGACGGCCGCCTGGTCTGGGAGCCCGAGGCGCGCGCGCGCTACACGCTGGAGTTCAAGGCCGGCAAGCTGGCCTTCAAGGACTGCGACGGCCGCTACCTGGCACCCGTGGGGCCTGCGGGCACCCTGCGGGCCGGCCGCAACCTGCGGCCCAGCAAGGATGAGCTGTTTGACCTGGAGGAGAGCCACCCACAGGTGGTGCTGGTGGCCGCCAACCACCGCTACCTGTCCGTGCGCCAAGGTGACCAGGCGGGGCGCTGGTCGTGGAGGGGGCACCACTCGTGTGTGTGAACGCATGTGCAAGCGTGTGCATGTGGTTGTGTGTGAGGACGCGTGTCTGTGTGGTGGAGCAGATAATGTGTGCACCATGTCTGTGTGGGACGCGTGTGCCCATGAGGGCGTGTCTGAGCTGGTGTGCTGTGCCCGTGAGGGTATGGGACGTCTGTGCGCTGGTGCTGGATGTCTCTGTATCCGGGTGGGTAACGTCCACGAGGATGTGGGTGGGACAGGAGTGGACTCCTGTTTGGTGGTGCACTGTGGCTGCACATGATACGGAGGTGGCCTTGAGGGCTGGTGGCTTCAAGGTCTCAACAGCAGGGTCTATCTCCCTCAAGTGCTGGCCCTGAAGGGTGGCCACTGGGCCCCTGATTGGTGGTGCCAGCCTGACTGGGCAGAGCAAATGAGGCTGCCAGGCCCCAGGACACTTTCTGGACTTTCAGGAAATAGGGTAATGGAGGCAGGACAAGGGGCCCTGGGGAGGATCAGAGCTCTTTCCGAGGGAGGGGCCATGGTGCCCTATGTGGTGGAAAGCACTCCCTCCCTGGCTGAGTAGGAAGACACTGGTCCCATGGGCAGACGGGCTCATAGCTAACACCATGGGCTCTGCAGTTACCAGTCATTTCTTCATGAGGTCGGTGGGCCCCTTTTCTATGAAATCCCTTCAGATGCCCCTGAACAGGGAGGTGGGCAGTTCCTTCCTCCTGTGAGGAAGTGCATGGTGTGGGGTGGCCCAGAGCTGAGGGGCAGCAGCCACTGCCAGTCCATGTGTGTGGCCCGCTCCCTGCGCCCAGGTGGTCCAATAATGGGAGGGAGAAAGGCCCTCCTGACCACTCTGCAGCCAAGGAGGAGGCCCATGTGTCTACCACAGGCCAAGGGAGCTGAATCCACCGTCCAGATTCCTGGCTGAGGGAGTGACGATGCTGTGGGCACTGCCAGTAGTGCTGCTGTGGTGCTCATAGTGGTGGTGATGGTGGTGTGGGCTCTGGTGGTCACTGTGGTGGCAGTGACGGTGGTGGCAGTGACTGGTAGACAGATGGTGGCCACAGGACTCACTCTTCACTCCTGCCGTCACCTGGGTCTGAACTCTACTTGTGATGGGTATCCTCTTCCTAGATAGTCCTGTTCCCACTTTGGGAGTTGGGCACCACTCACTCCTTGGATCTCTGGCACTAAACCTGCATATGACCCAGGCCCTAGACTTTGACCTGCTGAGATGTAAGGAAGCAGGCAGGACAGTGGGGGGATTCACCCCAGGCAGCTGGATAGAGGGTTTTGACTCGGCAAGTAGGAACGGCACAGCCCAGTGCTTGGACTCGTCCATCTTCTGACCGGGGGACCCCTGAATCTGTCTGAGGCTGAGGTCGGCCTGTCTTCTCCTGCCAATCACTTTCTTGGCAGCCCCATCAGCCAGAGGGGGTCTCTGTGCTTCTCCTGGGTCAATGGCTACTGGTGTCCGGGGGTCAGTGTTTGCTGCTTCAAGTCACAGAGAAGTGACTGGTACCTGCCTCAGACACTAGATGGTTGACTGTTTCCTTAAGGGAAGCCTAGGGGCCATGGGGTTGGCAAGGTTCCAGGCAGGCACCGGCTCCTCGTTGCTGAGAGGCCGCTCCCTCTGGTCAGCTAGCTGTACCCTCAGACTGCCAGCCTCATGGTCACAGAAGGCAGCTGCTGCCCTGGACTTCACACCCTCGCAGGCAGGAAACCTGAGTGGCAGTGGACAGCCACTCTCTTTGCCACTTCTTGTTCTTCTTGTGTGGTGCTGTCTTAGGAGTTATGAGAACATTCCCCACGTGCCCACAGGCATCCTTTCATTGTCATTGTCCAGAACCGGGCCATATGACCAATCTCTGCTCAGTCAATGCCTGGCTGAGGGAGCGGAAAAGGGGATTCAAAGGAGTCCGGGGCGTGAGAAGGAGGGGCAGTCTCTTGTGCGTTTTCCTGCTTCCAAAAACCTGCTGGAAGGCCAGTTATGAGTCGGCACCTTGTGATGAGCCCAGGAGCTCCAGTGCAATAGCACTTAGCATGGCAGGGCTGCTGACTGAAAGGTGACAGTTCAAATCCAACAGTCCTTCTGAGACAGAAAGATGGGCCATTGCCCATGTGAGTGGTAGTGAATCTTGTACTGAGGCCAATAGCACGCTCAGGTATCTTCCGCAGGTACTGGCTGTAGTCATCAGATCACAGCTGGGAGTGCTTGGGAGGAAGCCCCTTTCTACTGGGGGTCCCTGCCTGGTGCCCTGCCTTCCCTTGGAGCAGGGCTGACCACTTGCCCATCCCTCCTTCCCCAACCCTAGGGTACAGAGTCCTGTGACCAGCCACATGATTCAGGGTGGCACGTGATTCAGGGTGGCAGGTTACCATGGAATGGGGTAATGGTTCTGGGAGGATGTTTGGAAACCCCTGTTTGCCCACTGTACCCACCCTTAAACATGACCTTCTGAGGTCCAGTGGGCATGGGGAGGTGACAGAGAATTCATTCTGGTAGGGGGTTCAGACGTGGGAGGAGAGAGACCCCACTGTGCCCAGCCAGTGGCTTAGGGCAAAGTATAAATAGAAGCCGGCAGTAATCCCAAGCCCACAGGCAGGGGAGGCTGATTAGCTGCCGATTAGTCAAGTGGAGATTTGCTGGCACGGAAGGGACTACTGGGGAAGTGGAGAAGGGGAGGCACAGTCAAGGGCCCCCAAAGTAGCAATGTGTGTGTGTGGTTCTCAATGTGTCCATATCCCCAGAGCCTCTGAGAGGACCTTCCAAACCCTCCTCAGTCCAGAGGTTTCCAGACCAGACCCACCTAGCTCAGGGTGGTGGAGGGCTCACCCCAGGAGAGGAGTGAAGGGCTTTCCCATCTCCTTCCAGGGGTCAATGTATCAGCCAATCAGGATGAAGAACTGGACCATGAGACCTTCCTGATGCAAATTGAACAGGAGACAAAGAAGTGCACCTTCTATGCCAGCACTGGGGGGTACTGGACCCTGGTCACCCATGGGGGCATCCAGGCCACAGCCACACAAGTGTGAGTTCCTTACCTCTTCCACGCTCAGCTCCCGTCATCACTGCTGCCCTGCATGTCCACCACAGGCCTCAGCTGGCCTCTCCCTCTCAGCTCTCTCATTGTTACAGCTGTCACCTCTACCATCATCACCACGATCGTCCCCTTTACCCAAGCTGGGGGTAGGGGTGGAAGGGAGGACCACTGTAGCATCCCAGCCCGTCAGAGTGCCCACTGAGGGGGCCTGGTGGGCAGCTCCCAGTGGCAGCACGGCGTGGTGGGGTGTGTGATGTGGTGTCCATCTCGCCCTGCCCCTCCAGTTCAGCTAACACCATGTTTGAGATGGAATGGCGTGGCCGGCGGGTGGCATTGAAGGCCAGCAACGGGCGCTATGTGTGTATGAAGAAGAACGGGCAGCTGGCAGCCATCAGTGACTTTGTGGGTGAGAGGGGCTCCTTGTTCCCATGGGGCACTGGGGACCTTGCCTAGAGACAGGGCCAGCTCAGGGACCCGTATCCACCCCTCCCCACTGAGTAGAGCTGGGCAACAGGCTTGTTGGCCAGGCCGTGGTCCTAGCTCTCAGGATTGGCCATCAATCTGCACATTGGGGACCGAGGGCAGGCCTTCACCGCATGGTCCAAGGGCAGGCCAGGGAGGCCTGGGGTGACTGTCCTAACTCACCAGGTGAGGAGGCACCAGCAGCACCCTGTCCTCCTAGGTAAGGATGAAGAGTTCACCCTCAAGCTCATCAACCGGCCCATCCTAGTGCTGCGTGGCCTGGATGGCTTCGTGTGCCACCGGCGGGGCTCCAACCAGCTGGACACCAACCGGTCCGTCTATGATGTCTTCCACCTGACCTTCAGCGATGGTGCCTACCAGATCCGAGGTGCCGTGGGGCCCAGTGCAGCGGAGGGAGGGCCGAGAACACTTGCCCTGGGGTGGTATCTGAGGGAGAGGTGGACACAGCAATTCCTGGGCTCAGAGTCATGCAATGCACCTGATGCAGGTTTGAGAAGGATGTGCCCTCTTATGTCCTGGCTGTATCTTTGTCTCTTGAAACTGGAGGTCACGATTTAAAGATTGTTCCTGGAATTTGGGGTAGAGATCAATCCTGGATTTGGGGCACTAGAAGTCACCCCCAGGTTATCAAACTGGGGGACAATTTAGACATGGCTCCCATGCCTTCAGACTGGGGGGAAACGTCGCAATTCAGTTTGACCCCCAGGCACTCGAATTGGGGATGAGGTCAGCGATTTAGCCCAGCAGTGGGGGGGAGGGAGGCGCGGACATCAAGGGGCCCAGCCGACATCTGTCCACTCTCCAGGCCGCGGCGGAGGCTTCTGGAACACGGGCAGCCACGGCAGCGTGTGCAGTGACGGGGAGCGCGCAGAGGACTTCCTGTTCGAGTTCCGCGAACGTGGCCGTGTGGCCATCCGCGCGCGCAGCGGCAAGTACCTGCGCGGAGGCGCCTCGGGGCTGCTGCGCGCAGACTCGGACGTGCCGGCGGGGGAGGCGCTCTGGGAGTACTGACCCCGAAGCCCAGGCCGCGGGGCTGTATCGGGGAGCTGGCCGGGAAGCGCCCCGGAGGCGTCCAGCTGAGTCCACCACCGGCCGGCAGGGGCCTCACAGCCCCTGGCTGAGACACCGCTGCCCAGCGGGGCTACAGTCCGGCTGGGAGGAGAGGGCTGTGTCCTCATCATGGGAAGTTCTTGGGGAGACTTGGAGGAACAATACCTGCCGGTGTGGTGTGGTCTGGGGCAGAGAACCCTTGGGAGCCTGTGACCTTGCTTTTGACCCTACCTCAAGTTTCCGATACAGGACCCCCAACAGTAGGTACCTGCGTGAGTGACAGATGACCCCATTGTTCCCTACTGTGTCTCGTCAAACCAACCTAGGCCAGGACCTCCAGCCTCTGAGGGCTGGCTGAGCTGGGCCTCCAGCAGGGGTGGCAACACTGGTGCATTTGGTCACCCTGGCATGAAACCCCCAAGGGTGTCTGAGGGGGTATGTTTCAGGGAAGCATGTGTCGTGTATTCAGGCCCTGGGCTGGGAGACCTGACTTGCTTGGAAAGTCCTCGGCAGCTGGCTCTCAGCCCCACTTGTGACCAGAGGCCCAGGGGTGGGGTGCATGCAGGCAGGGCGGCAGGCTTCCTTTTCTAATCTGCACCCTATAGGGATGGTGGCAGGCCTGTACCCCATTAGGCCTGGGTGTGGCCAGCATGGGGAATGTGAGCACGCACTTGGGCCCCTATTCTGTGGAAAAGATGGGGTGGGGATGTCCTCCCTCCACGCTCGGGAAGCTATGAGGTGCAGAGGGGCTTCTTGCGGAAAGGGCTCTGAGGATCCTGCCTGAGGCAATGTGGGGACAGAGCCTCCAGCTCCTGGGCTCTGGTTTTCCCAGTGACTGCCCACAGTGGGCAGACAGGTGGGCCCAGGTGTCAAGGACCCAGCAGGGCTGGCTTCTCAGAGGGAGACCCAAGCAGACATTGTACAGGAGGCTGTGAGTGGACACGTTCATAGGGTGGTGTGTACAACAGGGGGCCGGCCAGCGGAGACCTGCAGGCACCCACCCTCCCGCTGCCCTGAAAGAGGAAAATATCAGCACCAGAGGGAGGGGCTAGGCCAGGGCTCCCAGGCTGTGGCCCCCACCCTCGGCAACCCAGGGGTTGCTACTGCAGTGTGTGGTACCAGGGTTCAACCCCAGTGAGGACCTCTGCGGGGTTCTTGGGCTGCACAGTGGAGCCTGCTGGCTGGAACGGCACCGTAGAACTTCGGCAAGGCTGTGCTCCTGGGAGAACCCCCGTGCGGGCCGCAGAGAGTCGGGCTACGTCTGAGGCAGGCTGTGGTCAGAAAGGAAAGTGGGAGACGGCCTCCAGCTAGGGTATTGGTGAAACCAGCCTTGTGTGGGCCACACACCCACCTCCCCTGGCCTGCAGAGACCAGCATCCTGGGTGGGGCGTGAGCATTATGCCTTCAGGAAGGGGAGCTGGGATTTGGCAAGTCTTGGGTGACGCCAGCAGCTGGTTGGAAGGAGGGAGAGGCTGACAAGGTGCTGACAAGCTGGAGCGGATGGTCCAAGTCACACAGCCAGCCCCCAAAACCCCTGCAGGAAGGCAGGGCAGGCAGCAGGTCCCCACAGGTGGAGAGGCCCCGTGGAGAATAGGGCAGGTGGGTACAGAAGCCAAAGTTGAGGACATCTGGTCTCCCTCAGCTCACAACAGGGCCAGTCGGTGCCCACCTAGGCAAGCGGCTTCATGTTCTGCACCTTCTCTGCAAAGCCCAGGGCACTGTTGGTTGTTAAAGCCCCAGACAGGGCCTTGCTCCCGGCGGGAAGAGGCCAAGCCTGGTAGATGGGTGCCTTGCTCACAGCAGGATGGGGCTGGGCCAGGGTGGGCAGGACTTTGCTCCCTGCAGGCCGAGCCTGGGCCCCGTAGATGGATGCCTTGCTCACAGCAGGACGAGGCTGGGGCTGCGAAGCTGCCTGTAAACCTGGAGGAGCCGCTCAGCGGTGGCTCGGGCGCTGGCTTCGTCCTCTAGGGACAGCCGGTCCCGCAGGGCTTGCACCTCCCTCAGCAGCGCCTGTGGTGGGAGCAGCACGTGAGGGCAAATGCCAGGCCCTGCCCTCCCCTGCGATGGCATCCCCACATGCAAATCCCTCAGGATATCATGGGGACCTAGGAGGGACCCTCGCCTTGGACCTTCAAGTTATCCGGTGCAGCAGTAGACCTGGTGGGCTCCACGAGCTGGGTAGGGTGGGTGAGCCAGGAATCCATGCCCCAGGTGGCAGGGGAGTCCAGACAAAGTAGGGGACAGAGTGTCCCTCAGTCCTGCTACAGTTGAGGGCACCTGCTCCACTGTCACACGACCCTCTGCTCTGTGCTTGTTTTGAGGGCCAGTGTGTGTATGTATGAGCTATACTCAGGAGTTGGATGGGGTCAGGAAGTAGGGGCGAGACTGCCTGGCCAAGCTATGTGGGGGGATGAGGCAGCTCCTCATGTGGTGTGAAGCAGCCCCCAACCCAGCTGGGGTGTGTGTGAGGTGCCCACGACTGCGGGGTGGACCCCCACCGCTGACCTGGGCACGGTACTCACCTCGTGGTTGGCGTGGATCTGGCGCAGGAACTGTAGGCGGAGGTCAGGTGGGCTAGAGCCCCGGGCAGCCTGGTCTACCACCATCGTCTGGGGACATGAGGGCGTGAGGAAGACTAGTGCCTGGCACTGGACTCTGTGCCCTGCAGGGCAGGGACTCCCCCCAGCCCTCCCCCCTGCAGCTCCTTCCACTCTTGTCCCTCCTGTCCTTGGCTGCTGCCCCGGCCAGGGGCATTTCCTCTGATCAGCTGCTTGGCATGGCCCAGCCAGGGCCCCTGCAAACACCCAGATCTCCCACTTCCTGGGGACCGCTTTGCTTCTGCTCAGACCCCAGCTCACAAGGCTCTAAGCATGGTCTACCTGCATCGTCAGGCTGAAAACTACATAAAGTAACCACAAGGAACTCCATGCACAAAGGGGAGTGCTCTGCTCAGGTGCCCAGGAGCAGGTGGTGTCTGAGGACTCTCAGGTCCTCTCCCCGTGAGCGTCGAGGCGGCTCTGCAGCTCACACCAGAACCAGACCACCCCTCACGTAAGACATCCCAGGCAGCAAACTTAGGGGAACAGCAGTATGAACACCAGAGCTCCTCTCCAGGCCTCGGGTGGCCACTGTCCTGCTAATGGGCAGTCCCGAGACCACTGGTAATGATCCTGGGGGAGCCCCGGCCAGCCTGGCACACCCGGAGCAGAGGGGCTCGGTTCCAGCCTGGGAGGGCACCAGAACAGGCCTGGGTTGTGTGCCTGACCAGTCCCTGGCAAGGGCAGAAATCATGTCCTCACTGGAGAGGACACCCAAAAAAGCTTAACCTGCCACTGCTGGTGCTGTGATGTTGGTCAACACACAACACCCCCCAAGAAGGCCTGGGCCTGGGCTGTGTGGTGCCAGCCTCCCCAGCTTTGCTCTGCTTGATACACTGCTTCACTTTCACTGACCGTCCACTTTGTCACGCATGATGTCCTCCTCCAGGGACCAGCGACAGTCTCCCCATCCTCACCTCCAGGGAGCACCCTGTCCCAATACAGATGTTTGTTCCTTCAGCAGCTCATGATCTTGTCAGCATTCTTCACCAACACCGTAATTCAGGGGCATTTTGCATCATGTGCATGAGGTGGATGGAAACACCACTGTTTGGGGTCAGGGGCACCTTATTCTTTAAAGTGACCTTCTTGCTCTCAAGCACTTTAAAGAGGTCTTTTGCAGATTTACCGGATTTATCTCTGCACTCAGTTGACTGACACACGTTCACGCATGACTAAGCATCCCATCGGATGATACGCACTGTCCCTTGACACTGGCTGTGACCACCTGTGTGTCTGCTGTTCCCACCTGGACCGCTCCGTCCAGGGTCCCTGTCTTCTCCCGTGCCTCTGGGTAATGTGGGCATCTTGCTCTCACGGCTGGTCATCTGAGCACACTGGTCATGCTCACAGGCCTGTAACTGGGTGATCCTGGGCACAGCTTCAGTCACCAGGGAGAAGGGTTTCTAGGGGCCAGTCTCCCAACTCCCCAGTCATACCCAGTTCAGTCTACAATTCTGTTTTGCTCTCCATTTCCATGCTAACTGGGGCCTTTGGTGACAATCCTGGCCAGAATGTGGGGGTGGCAGCCAGACACCACTGGGCTCTGGGATTGGGCCGGAGGCAGTTCCAGGGGCTGTAATCCCAGTGTCCTGGCCCCCTGGACGCTGTTCACTCCCTTTGAAACAGGTGCAAGGAGACCAGTGGTGGTGCCACACGGTTCCTCATGAAGGGAGATGGACAATGTCCTCATGTGCTTGTCGGGTAAGCTGACCTCAGCGATCCCCGCGCTTCAAGCCTGCTTGTCAGCCTGTGACGGTGCGTCACGTCCAACGTGCCTCCCCTGGGAGGTGGACCCTGGGTGCTATATCCTAGGAACACAAGTGGCTCCTCATCCCTGAGCCGTGTCTGGTGCGTGCTCTGATGCCCTCCCACACCTGTGCACTACACCTGTCTCCTTATACACCCCCACACGACTGACTTCTGACCTGGCGGCTGGCCGCTGTGTCCACCCCTCTCATCCTTCATTCCTGCGCACCTCAATATCATCCTCTGCCTCGGTCCTGCCTGGCTTGGTCTTCCCGGGTCCTGGTGACATTCTCTCATCCCTCCCGTCAGACGATGTTTTCTGGGTGTAAAGTTTGCCTGGTGTTCATAAAGTGGCTCTTACACAACGTCTGTCTGTTACTGGCCTATCTCCCTCAGCTTGTCCTGCAGACCCGCCTGGGGGGGCCTCCGAATGTTCCACTCATCGTGTCTTCCTCCAGGAGTGTCTGTGCCAGTCTGACCACTTGTTCTTAAGGAACACCAGCTGTCTCTGGCTCTTGCTCCTTTAACACCATGATGACCATGGCGTCTACTCCAGAATGCGTCCTAAAATGGGGACTGGGTGATCAATGACACCTCCGGAGTACATGTCACTCACAGGTGCACCGCCCCACGTCCCTGCTGGCCTCACAGTGTGGGGTTGGTGTCACTACTGTTTAGGGGGAGATGGTGTCTCCCTATAGCTGTGATTTCTTCACGTTTGTCCTTTCATTTTTTGACGGCGGGTTCCAAGGGTGTGGACTGTGGATCTGGATAAAATGGAATTCTACCCATTTTCTTGCCAGTCTGGTGCTCCTTGTCCAGGCAGAAGCTCGGAGCAGCCACTCCCGACCCTGCAAAGAAGGGGACCCACTCCCCAGGAGCTAGGCACAGGCCAGCTGCTTCCTCCTGCCTTCGTGACAGGCTGTGAGACTCAGAATGGGGGCTCCATGCTCCAGGACCAACGCCTAAGCCTGACTCAGGAAGCGGCATGTGCACAGCCAGGGGAGGCATGGAAGCTGACCGCTGACCAGTGACACACCAGGGAGTGGCGCAGCTGAGTGTCTATGTGGGCAGATGGTGTCTGCAGGCCAGGGAGGAGCAGAAGGCCCACTGCTCGGGGCTCAGCTTCGGGCAGACGCATCAAGATGCTGGAAAGAGCGTCTCTACACGTCAATCACTGGTGATGCTCACCTGGATCCGGCCAACGACTGCGTGGTGTGCCCGGCACACATCGGCCAGCGAGGTGCTCTCCACCTGGATTTCCACAGCCTGGATGGGGCCTGCAGGGCACAGGTCTGTCACAGCCACCTGCAACACAGGCCAGAAGCTCATGGCCACACTGTGGAGCTGGGGAACCTGAGTCATCAACAGTGTTCTTGTCCTGGGATGCCACCCAGAGCCCAGGACCCAGGACCCCCGCAGGAAAGACCATGCTTGCCTCTCGGACAGTGAGGTGGATGTCAGCACCGCCGGGGGCCACCCCCTGCACAGACGACAAGGCGCGGGCCTGCACGATGTCCACAGCGCCGTTCTCGGCCAGCAGCCACTGCAGAGTGGCACAGCACAGGGGCACACCTGTGGGGGTAGGCTATGACTCAGTGCGTTCCCTGGGGCCGGCACCTCACTCCTCGGTGATGAAGGTTCAGCCACTGGCCTGGAGGGGCCCCTGACATGTCCACTCCCATACAAGGGTCGTGCTATAACAAGAGGGTCCAGGAGAGCATGGTGGAGCAGCCAAGGGGGGAGACCCCAGGAACAAGCAGTGGCGCCTTCCCAGCCGGGTGATGGGTAGGGGGTGACTGTGTACAGGGCCCAGGTGATGACCCACCAGCATGGATGTCCTCCAGGGAGGTGCGCAGCAGCTCTGCCGACACCCGGATGGAGGCCACGGACGGGGGCAGGTATTTGGCTCGGAGAGCGGCAGGGCCCAGTGGTTCAGTGCCGTGCTCGTGGCTGGCTCCCAGGAAGGTGTCCAGAGGGTCGCTGGGGGGTGCCCCTTGACCCGGGGCCTGTGTGCTGGGCTCGGCCAAACTGGGGAAGCGTAGGCACTGAAGCAGGTCCACGATATGCACGCCAAGGGGCAGGCAGATGCTGTCCCGAGCGGGCAGCAGGTCCGGGGGGCACGCCTCACAGAGGGGATCCTCCTCGGAGCCTGGGGGGGCGAGGGCACTGCCCACCACCTCCCTGAGGCTGTAGAAGAGGGCACAGGAGATGGTCACGGGCAGGTCAGGCGCGCTGGCCTCCCCGGAGCTCAGGGACAGTGTCACCTCACGCTGGGCGCCTGGGGCCAGCTGCTGCACAGGGACCGTGTAGGTGGTGGTGGCATCGGCCACATCCAACTCGAAAGCATGGGGACTCGCGAGCACCTGGATGCACCAGGCCCAGCCGGCGCCCAGGCTGCACGTGCCGTGGTTCTCCAGCCGGCAGGTGGCCGTCAGCTCCTCCCGCACGCCCTGGCGGCCCCAGGCCGTGGTGGTGGTGCACACGATGGGCTTGGGGCCGCCCTGGCGGGAAAGCAGGGCGCAGCTCACATCCAAGGCCTCGTGGAGGCACGTCAGGGCCTGGTTCCGCTGGTCAACCGCCTTCTTCAGTGAGAATACTCTATGGGGAGAGCAGGTCAGCGTGAGGGGACAAGCCCACCTGGGCAGAGACAATACCAGTCCAGCACAGACATTGAGACAGCGTCCACCCAGGACAGTGGAGACAAAGGGACAGCGTCCATCCAGGACAATGCCAACACAGGGACAGTGTCAACCCAGGACAGTACAGACAAGGAGACAGTGTCCACCCAGGACAGTGCAGACGAGGGGACAGTGACAGCGTCCACCCAGGACAATGCCAACATAAGGATGGCATCCATCCAGGACAGTACAGACATAGGGATGGTGTCTATCCAGGACAGTGTAGACGAGGGGACAGCGTTCACCCAAGACAGTGCAGATGAGGGAACAGTATCCACCCACGACAGTGCAGACTAGGGGACAGTGTCAATCCAGGACAGTACAAAGGGACAGCGTCCATCCAGAATAGTGCAGACGAGGGGATAGCGTCCATCCAGGACAGTTTAGACATGAGGACAGCACACATACAGGACAATGCAGATGAGAGGACAACATCTGATCAGGATAGCACAGATGAGGGGGCAGCGTCCATCCAGGACAGTGCAGATATGGGGACAGAATACACCCAGGAGAGTGCAGATAAGGCGACCGTGCAGATGAGGAAGAAATGGGACCGAGGAGATGTCTGGCCAGGGTAGGCACCCCAGTGCCTCACCCCAGCACCCCAGACACGCCTGACCGCCCCATCCTCTTTGGAGTACAGCTGGACACCCACGACCTGGAGCTTTGCACCCTTGCACCTTGAACCTCGTAGGGCAGTGGCTGGAGAGCTCACAGAGCACTTTCTCCTCATGTGTCCCTGTGACCAGGGTGGGATGAGGGGCAGAAGCTTGTCTGTAAAGGACGTGGTCGCCAATGAGCCCCTGGAACTTCAGGGTGTCCCCCAGGAGGAGAAGTGCAGGGGCCACTGACAGAGCCTAGACTAGAGCTACAGTGTGGTCCAGTGTCACCAGCACAACACCAGCCTCCAAGGCGCCGGCCAGCTGCTCACCTCTCAGAGACACTGCCGATACCCGAGAGGAGGTCCTTAATCCTCTGGCCAGCTTGGGCTGGGGTCATGCCCTCAGGCCAGTCAGTGGCAGGTTCCAGGGACAGGCTGCAGGTTATCAGGCGCCCCCTGGCGGACAAGGCCAAGAGCTCGGTGTCCTCTGAGGGAGACAGTGGGGCCAATCAGTAGGCAGGGAGAGAGGGCAGTGGCTGTCAGAAACCCAGGACAAGTCAGAAAGAGCAGTTTCCAGGGTAGGGGTGAGGGGCCTCACAACGGCCTTGCCCACAACAGGGAGGGGTGCAGCATGGTACCCAGTCCTCACCTGACAGGCTGGGAAGGACAGAGTAGCCCTAGTTCTAAGGTACCCATCTCTGGACACCCCACAGACTGGCCTCTGCGTAGAGCTGTATGGCTATCAGAGTCCCACCCTGGCCTCTCTGGACGTCATCCCGTCCCCAGAGTCACCTCGCCTCCTTCCAAAGGAGACCGTTGGAAACATGAGCTTCCATGTCCCTCCCCCATGGGGCTGACATGGACACAGAGCCTGTCCAGGTCCTTGTTCCCCAGAGTGCCCCAACGCCCAGCTCCCGACGCCCAGCGAGCATCCCCCACGCCCAGCACCCCTGATGCCCAGCATCCCCCACACCACCCTCCCCTGGATGGCCTGGCGTCTTTCTGTGCCTCTCATAGGCGCCTAGTAGGCTTTTTAATGGGAAGCCTGGAAGGCATTCTATCCCTTTCCCCAACAGAGTCACCACAGCTGAACGCCTTGGTCAGAAAGGCGCTGCTCTGATAGTGTCCCCACAGCTCGACACACAATGATGCCTACGACTGTCTGGGGCCTTCGAGGTGCCAGGCTGGGAGCTCTTGGACACTGAGGGGGGAAGAGTAGGCGGCCATGTCCTTGGTGGGCTGGGAATTGGGCAGTGAGCACGCCTTCCCCTGCCCAGTAGACCTCAGCCCACCTCAGCCGACAGCAGCAGAGGGATCATCAGGGTCGGCCCTGGCCAGGGGTGAGTACCTGCAAGGGCCACGGATGGCACGGTGAGGGCAACGACGCTGCAGACACTCAGGCTGGATGGACAGGGCAGCGAGGGCAGGCCAGGTTGTGCAGGGTCTGCAGGGTGAACCCCCTGGCCCAGGTCCACCACACAGAGGTCCGACGGCGTGCTGTGGAAGACACGGCCATCCCTGCCGCAGGCAGCACACAGCACGGGCCCCGGCAGGCGGAACTCCTGCAGCTCTGGGGTCAGGCTGCCTGCCTCGTCCCGGCTGGCCTTGATGGCCAGCAGTCGGCCTTCGCTGCCCAGGGCTAGCAGGCAGTCGGCATGTGAGTCCTCGCCCCCCAGCTCCTGGCTTGCTGCCTCCTGGGCCTGCAGCTCCGTCCTCAAGGCCCCAATGAAGATGACGGGCTCCTCAAGGTGATGAAGGATCCTGACAAGAGCCCTTGGGTCCCCTGGGGCTGTCCTCGAGGTGACCAGGGCCTTGAGGACCACACAGCAGAGCTGGCCATCAGGGAATCCACAGAGGACCACAGGTGACTCCAGGAGGGTGGCGTCGGCCCCAAACAGCAGACCAAAGAGAGGCCCTGTCAGTATGACATCTCTGGGTCGCTGGAGGTGGCTGTGGGGGGCCCCCGAGTCAGGTGGGAACACACAGCAGAGCACCGGGAGCAAGTGAGTGGCCGGGGGCTCCCCAGGACCCCCAGCTGGGGGGGCGCCCGTGGGGAACGCCACCTCGCCAATCTGGGCTCCTGGCCCGGGATCCGGCCCTGGACAGAGCTGCTCGAACAGCTGCATCTTCCACGCGGCTGGGCCTTGCGCCACGGTGACAAGCATGTCGTCCAGCAGGGTGAAGGCGCACAGTGTGGGGTCAGGGAGGACACAGGCGTCTGGGCCCACGGGAACCACGCTGGGCAGGAGCTCCTCAGCCTCACTGTAGTCGGCAGCCTGGCTCGCAGACCTTCAAGAACACAAGGGCAGTGGTCAGGGCAGGTGTCCCCTGAGCGACCCCCGTCAGGATCCTGAGGGGTCTAGGGTCTTCCCGGCCTCTCCAAAGAGCAGCCCCTCTGCTAGCTGTGTCACCAGAGCCAGCAAGACACGCGGGTAATTTCTGGAAGCAGGGCTGGACACAACTTCTCAGTTCCAGTGACTGCAGGACCCGAAAGCCACCCCATCAACCCCCTGGAAACCATAAGCCAGGAGACAAGCCCAGCTCTGTGTCTGTGATCTGGGGAGGGGGCACATTTATTTCCCGCCAGATGCCCACCACTGGCAACCCTCCACACAGCCCACTGTTTTCTGATCACCAAAGTGACCACCTCGGAGGTCTTCATCCACCCAGGCACCCTGCTCAGAGGTGACAGCCTCGCATCGCCAAAGGGCCGGGCCCGGGCGCCAGGCGCGGGCAGGAGGGGCCGGTGGAGGGGCGCAGCCACCCCACCTGCGGCACAGCTGGTGGCCGGACGTGGAGCTGCTTGGAGCTCCTTTCCCGCGCGAGCAGAGAGGGGGGTGTGTGGGCGATGTCTGCTGTCAGGGCGGAGGCGGCCATGCCGGCCCCGCGGGGCGCCTCCGGACATCGTCCCTGGGAAGGGAGTGCCGGCGCTCACCTGCTCCGAGGGTGCAGCGGGACGCAGTAGACGCCGCTCCGGGCGCACAGGACGCACAGCGCCCGGCGCGGGGCCAGCAGCTCCAGGTGCCACACCTGCGCGGGAAACTCGTACACCGCCTGGAGGCGAGCGCGCGGCGTCAGACCCGGGCCGTCCCCGAGCAGCGCCGACCCCCGCCCCGTCCCGGGCAGCCCCCGCTCACGCTCGGCCGCCGGGCCTCCCGGTCGTAGGCGTAGACGAGCTCGCTGCCGGTGGACACGAAGACCTCGGCGCCGAGGCTCAGCACGCGCGGCCGGCCCGCTGTCAGGCCCCCGGCTGGGCAGCGGAAGGCCGCCAGGCAGTCGACGCGCGGCGTGGCGCCGGCCATGGCGGCGGGACCGGGCGGCGGGAGCCGGCACCTGCCCGAGCCCGGGCAGGGGGCGCGGCGGCGGCACTTTACGACTGCTCATGACGCCCCTCGGCCGTAAAGCGGAGAGGCGTGGGCGGGGCGTGGGCGTGCCCAGCGTCCAGGGGACGGGGCGTGGCCTGGGGGCGTGGCGGGGGAGTGGAGTCGTGGTGTGGTCTGGGGGCGCCGCCGGGCGTCCGTCCTGGGGTGCGGTGGAGCGTTGTCCAGGCTCCGCTCCCGCGCTGCGGCTGGGGGCTGCACGCTGCGGAGGCAGTGGACACAATGATCTTAGCAAAGGGTCACCTTGTTTTGGGCGGGAACCCAGGTCTTGGGACTGTGCCTGCTGCTCTCTGCGGAGGCGATCTTGTGGGGGTCCCCGAGCCGGTGTGGTGATTCGCTGCCAGGGCCTCCCTCGGAAGTGGTGGTTCACTCCTTAAGGAGTGGACACTGGCCTCTTGGGGTTTTCAGACACCCCGGAGGAGGGGCGTGAACGCGATCGCAGCCTGGTGGGTCCCTTGGTGGAGGGGCCGTCATCCCCAGGACACCTTCCTGAACACTGCTGTTTAGTCTGGTGGGTCAGTAAGGACAAGCACAAGCCCCAAGGGATTCGAGTTGGGGGCAGAGGACAGTAAAGAAACGGCAGACATTGCAAGAATGAGACAAGGGTGAGGTAAAGCTGGGTGGAGGCTGGGGTGGGGGGAGAGGTTGCTCATGTGGAGGTGCTCCTCACCTGCCCCTAAAGCCTATGGCCACCTCTTCCCCAGAAGAAGCAAGGTCAGTTCCACCACCACGAGGGACAGCAGCATCAATGGCTACTGTGCTTGGGCTGGGTGGGGCAGAAGAGTGTGGTACCAGCAGCTTGTGGTTTAGGGTCTGTTCTGCTGGACCCTGAGGTGATGCTCCCCTCCTCCACAGCACTCCCCGCTCTGAGCAGCCCACCCTACATGTCCTTTGGGACCCAGGACAACACTATCTCCACATCAGGTGTCCACATGGCCCTGAGGTGCTTAGGTGGGCTGTGCCAGGGACAAGGCCAGTAGAGGTGTGGAGACCCTGGGCCTTGCTGTAGGGCCCGCTGCATGCAGGGACAGGGGAGAACACTTCTGTCAGGGGTGTTAGGGGGAGGCTCTTCTCCAGCCACTTGGAGAGCTGAGGTGGGACGGTGCAGAAGTTCCAGACGGGACTGAGCATCTGTGCCAAACTTACTTCTGGCCCAGCTAAGAGGAGTCACTGAGAGGGGCTGGGGACAATGGGGCCTCCACCGTGTCCCAGGAAGGGAGCTGTGGTCACCTAGTGGTGAGCAGTGACACTGCAAGCCAAAAGGCATGCTGCTTGAAAGGACCTGCAGCTGCAGAGGATGGTCAATCTCCTCTCCTGCGAGTTACTGTCCCTGAAGACCCGCTGCAGGGTCAGTTATGGGTCAGGTCGTACTCAAGAGTACACAACAGCAACAAGTCCAAGTCAATCAGCACAGACCCCAATTCCAGGTAGGTGCAAGACAGGAACGACCAAGCAGATGTGTCCCTTCAGGCGCTTTTATTAGGTTCCACTGCAGAGCCGGGAACTCCACCCAAGCCCACTGCTTCCCCGGGCAGAGCCCAGAGCAGACAAAGCAGGAGTCCTGGACCCCAGGAATGCCACCAGCTGGCTGGGGCTGCACTCCCAGGACCTGCACAGCACTCCCTCTGGACAGAGAAGGGAGACAGATGCCTTCCTGCCCAGAGCAGCTCACGCCAGGGGCAGAGCAGAGGAGGAGACAGGAGGATGTGGTGGTGGAGCTGCAGCGTGAAGAGGGCAGGCTGGTGGCGGGACCAGCAGGAAGAGCTGTGGTGCAGGGCAGCCGGACAGCCGCTTGTAGGCTGAGCTCAGGCGGGTGGCCCACCCACATGCCGCCTCTGCTGAGTGAAGCTGTGGCCACGCAACACACCAGCCGTGGGCCCTTGATGGCCGGCTGGAGGGACGGTTCCACCACGGCCAGACCAGTTACTCAGGGGTCTTGTTCCTCAAGGCCGCCAGGTGCTGTGTCTACACCTGATGCTCAGGTCCTGGCGTTGTCTCCCACAGAGCCCCAAGGAGGAAAGGTCCTGGCCATCTGGAGAGGCCGCCGTTCTAGCGGGTACTGGGCAGCATGGATACCCAGCTGCCATTAAGGCAAAGAGGCATCAAGGGGCCCAGAGCAGGGGCTCAGGCAGGTCTCTGGCTGGCCCATCAGAGGCCTGCAGCGCCGTACTCTCTATCCCATGGCCTGAGCAGCCTCCAGCTCACCGAGCCTCCAGCGGCCTCTTGGGGCTTGTCCGCTGGTCACTGCATCAGGTCAGGGGCCGAGTGTGGGGTACCGGGTCTGCACCCGGCCTGTCAGCAGCCCCAGCCTTCGGGCGGATCCCCGCGCCCTGCTCTGTGCGCACATCTGGGGCAGTCAGCATGCGGCATAGGCGTGGTGGGCCGTCTCAGGCACTGAGGTTTTATCAAGGGTCAGTGACGGGTCCCCATCCACACTCCACCTGGGACACCCCCCCCAGAGGGACCTACTGAGGGAGGGAAGGACGTGGAAACTAGTCTCACTCCCCTTTTGTGCAGTTTTATCTTACAAAAATAAATAAAAGCCCTCTGGGCAGGAATCATTGTTTTTACAGCGGGTAGCCTACTTTGACCCCTGCAGGTCTGGTGGGGAGGGCAGTGGCTGCCCCTGTGAGTCCACCAGATGATGGCTGTCTGAAGAGGAGGGCCCCCACAGGTGAGGTCTCTGTCCACAGCAACAGGACACAGAGCCAAGCACTCCTAACCAAAACTGGGGGTGGGGTGGGGTGGGGCGGGGGCTATGGGACAAAGAGCTCTAAAGGGAGGGAGGGTGTGAGGCTAGCAGCAGGTCCCCCAGCTCCGCACGAGGCAGGGGCCCGGTCCCCTGGCTGCTGTGAAGGCTGGCAGCTGCTCCACAGCCTGGCACCCTGTCCAAGGGGTGCCCTCGGGGAGAGAAGCTCTGGGTCAGAGCCCACGGCCTGCACCCTCAGGCCTGCACCCTGGGCACAGCCAGCTCCTGAGGGCTGGGCTGTCCCTCCAGGGCGGGGCGTTAGGTCCTTGGGAGGCTGCACATCTCGCAGTGGCCGGTGCCCGGTGGGTTCATGAAGGTACAGTGCTGGCAGGCCCACATGGTGGCAGAGCTGGTGGCGTGCGCGGAGCCTCCTGCGGCACCGAAGTCCTGGAGGCCGGGAAGCTGCACGCCGACGGTGCCTGGGGGCGAGAGAGTGAGAAGACCTCTGGTCATCACTCTCACAGCCCTCGTCCCACCCCCAGAGTGTCACACTGCTCAGCCAGTGCTTGTGGCACAGTGTGGTAACTGCAGGCCGTAGAGGCCAGGCCAACACCAGTGAGGCCCAGCACAAACATCAGTGAGCCACCCCAAGGCAGAGGCCGCGGGGTCCCTGACAGATGGGGTCTGAGAGGGAGTCTATACCACATGACCATTCTAGTCCCTCAGCACTTCCAGATCAGTCTCAAGCCTTGCGGGTTTTTCTCCACCCCCCACCATCTGGAGGATTTGTACTGATTTTCTGGCAAAACCAACATGTTCCACATTGTCCTCCATGAGAGCCCGTCCTTTTACGGCAGGGCCCTGGTCTTCCCCGGCGTCCACAGAATCCACTGCTGGAAGGTGTGGGGCACCTTGATGGGCAGAGTGTGACAGCAACTCCTAAAGTAGCCAAGTGGCCACAGTGGGGTGTGGGGAGCCAGCCACCAGCTAATGAAACGGTGACTCTGCTTCTCATGGTGTCTGTGCTCCAAGACAGCTTCCCTGTCACCAGATCTGTGAGACAGTGGAGCTGGGGCCCTGGGCTCAGTGCCCTCCTGGGGAACCAGGAAGAGAGGTTTCCTGGTACCTTCAGACCCTCTCCTCACCTTGGCTGATACAGGCCCAGGGGTGCCCGAGAATCTGATGGCCTGAGCCAGGCAGGCCTGGATACCAGGGAGCTGGCCTCGGTGGGCCCTGTCCTCAGACACCAGCATTCAAGCCACTGGGCCTCTCTGTGCTCTAGTGTCAGCGCAGAGTCTAACAAGGTTGTTCTGGTCTAACTTTCTAGATTAAGAAACTGGTGTAAACTCTTTTCAGAGAGATTCTCAAGGTTATCTAAGGCCACCCGATACTTCCCACAGCACAGGGAAAAGGCTGCCAAGTAACCTGCAGGTGACACACCTCAGAACCGGGCCCCTACATGCAGCAAGGCAAGCGGAGGAAGCGTTCCCCCTGGGTGGGAGTCCACCAGGGCCTGGGCCTTCCAGTCCAGCCCCCGCTCCATACATGCGTTGGGCTGTATATACCTGAGAGCAGTGGCCCTGGCCACTGCCTGGCCCTCTGCCAGTCCTGCAGGCACAGCTGACCTGGGGCTGTGAAGACTCCTGTCAATTATCACTGTGCCTGTGTGACCTGTCTCCCAAGGACCAGGTGTGCACGCTGGAGCCTTAGTCACGCCCCTCAGCATCGGCACTGAGGGAGGGAAGCACTACCATCCCATGAAGTGTCCTGCTGCCAGTGAAGTCCACCAGGACGCCCTAGCTGAGAACTCTGGACCCTGGTGACACGGCCAGATGCCCAGAGTGAGGGCTGCCACTCAAGATGGGTGGCACTTACTGCAGAGCTGTTCAATGGTGGCCCACTGCTCAGACTTCTTCCAGGTCTGGGCCAGTTCCTCATCCCTGGTCCTCACGGCCTCCAGCAGCAAGCTGATGCTGTCCTACATGACATAAACGAAGCGAGGTCTGCTGGCAAGTCCCCTTCCCACCACCAGGGCTCATCCAGGCTACCACTGTGAAACTAACACCACACTCATGCCAAACGTGGCCACACCCCCTCCCGCCTGGGGCCCAAGGCCACAGCCAGACACACAGACACATCTCATCACGATGGGCACAGCAATCTAACATCTTCTATTGCCAGCCCCTTGCAGCATTTCTGTTGCAAGACAGCAAACAATTCTGGAATTCAACCTGGACCCAGGTAAGGAGTGCTAGCGTTCCCCCGACCCTGCCCGCAGCCCCACGCGCCGGGGCGGCTCTCCTCCCCGACCCACCTGCAGGGGCATGACTTCATTGGTGACCAGGAAAAGCAGCAGGTGGAAGTCTGAGATGGTGTCCAGGAACATGGCTGAGGTATTCTGGGACAGGTAGGTGGCCAGACTGTGGAAGTCCTGATGTGGGGGCAGAGGAAAGCAAGCACATCAGTGTCCCTGAAGCCTGTTCAGCACCCCGGAGGGAGATGGGCATGGTGGTATTTTCTGTGGCCCTGGAGGTGTGCCAAGCAGAGGAGTCATGGCAGCAGAGCTGGTGCTAGTGGCCACCCCCTCACTCTCGGCACTCAGTGTGTGAAGCTGGCCCATCCGTGAACCGTGTGGCTAAGGGCAGTGCTCTCTCTTCCCCAAACTCAAGAATGTGGAAACCTCTGGGATGGGCGGGAAGGGCCCTATCAGGATGGAGAATGCTGCCCAAAAGCCTGGGCTGTGGTCCAAGAAGGACCAGACAGGCAGCAGGGCTGGATAAGAAAAGGCCAAAAAAAGGCCTCCTTTCACTACACCACCTTCTGAAGGGCCCACTGGTGACGGCTCAGAACGGGTGTGTACAGTCTATGGGCCAAAACGGCCATTGCCCATGAGCTGGAAGACACCATGCTAGAGCAACAGAGCTGCAGGGCCGAGGAAAGCACAGAGACAGAAAAAACTGGGGGGCCACCCAGTGACCCATCAGCTCTGGAGAAAAGTTGGAACGGGCGTTCTGGCAGTCAGAGGCTGAGGCCGGGCAACCTGTCCTTGCTGGGGTAAGATCTGTGGTGTGCCAAGTGGATGAATTGGGCAGTCTGAGAGCGTGGTACCTCTACAACCCCACCAACAGCCCAAGTCTCGTGTCTAGAAGACAGGCTTACCTGTGTTTCCCCCAGGACATCCCGGTTCTCAATGGGGAATGGGTTTTGTGAGATGGAGAAGGTATGAACAGGGTCCTTGGGAAAGGTGGTTGTGATCTGAGGAAGAAGCACAGGGCAGGTGGAGAGGGCTCAGGCACTGAACCCACTCCTCAGGGAGTGCCCCCTCACTGTCCTGCATCTGGGGAAGACATGCACACAGTGAAACCGAGATGTGAGGAGAAAAAACCAAAGATGCCTGGGAAACAATAAAACAGACCCTTAAAAACGGCACCACATCTACACTGAGTTCCCAGGTGTGAAAACGGTTCTGCTGTCGGGCAGAGGCCTGGAGAATGCTGCCCATCCCTTGGTGCCATGGAACATGAGCAGGAGGGCCCCTCCAGGTGGCCTGGGAAGCCTGCCCTCTCTCTGCCAGGTAGCACACAGGCACCCAGTGCCTTCCTGATGACAACACATCCTAAACCAAGCTGTGGGCTGCATACGCACTCCCCCTCAACACACACACAGAAGACTTGTGGTTCTGACAGATCCCATCTCCTCCAGCGCCCAGTGTGCACTCCAGTCTCTGTTGGTCAACACAGATGTTCCCTGCAGGGTGACATTCATCAGACTCGGGGCTGTTGCTCTGGAAGCCTTCTGGAGAACAGATACATGTCCCTGCGGCTTTCGACACAGGCAGAGGCAGCGGGCCAGCCCCAAGCTTGAGGCAGGATTCCACCTGACTGTGCCAGGTGCCCTGACATGTCACCACACACAGCAGCCTGGTCCACTGGGAGGCTGCAGGCGGTGCAATGGGAGGAGCACCTGTCTGCAGGCTGGCTGTCCTCATCTGCACTCAGCGCCCTCTGCCCTCAGACTGAGGACCAGTCCTCACCTCATAGCCCATGTGGTCACGACCATGACATTCCCTGAGCAGAAGCCTGGGGCCCATGTGGCTTCTGCAGCTCTAGGAGGCCAACTTGACCCCCTGACACACACTACCCTGGCAGCTGCTCTGGGTGGGGCAGCCATGAACATCTGCTAATGTGCAGGTGGGATGGCAGGCCTGAATGGGTCACTCTGGAGCCCAAGGGGCAGAAGGGGCTCCGTTCACTCTTGTTTCCATGTCTGAACAGAGTATGACAGCCCTAGGCTACTCTCAAGGAAACCAAAAACCAGGGACTGAAAAGGAAGCCCCGAGTGCTGTGAGTCCTCAAGGAAACGGGGTGCTGGAGGCCTGGAGCAGCAACCTAGGGCCCGCTGGGTCCACAAGGCTGCTATTGCATGACGTACATCGATGATCAAGTATTCCACGGGCAGGGGGCGTGCCAACTGGGTGATTTCGTTGCCAAACTTGTCGATATCCTGCAGTGGGAAACAAGCCAAGGTTAGGCTCCTGTCTTCCCTTAACTCCCCACTAGCTAAGTGCACGAGAAGCAGATGGGAGGACACTCAGACCTCCACATGGGTCTGGCCTCCACTGCTTCGCCCTCAACCTCGTGATGATCCCAAGACAGAAAGCACATGTTCCTAGCCGGCAGGTCTCCACCAGGGGGCTGGCTAAAGACACCCCTTTTCTGGCACCAGTTGGCATTGAAGCACTGTCTGTGAGGCAGGGGGACAGATGGATGGACAGACTGGGCAGGGTGGGCACGCCTCCTCAGGTCAGAGCACTCCACGCTGTCCCTGACAAGTCCATTCTCACACCTCACAGAGAGACTTCTGGAAACTTCATACGTGTGTGCTAACAACATAAACAAATGTGAGTGTGCACACACACACACACGGACACGGAGCCCACCGCCAAGCTGTCCGAGTCTCAACTTGTTTTGCTTTGTCAGACGCATGGAACATAAAGTTTAATTACGGGGAAACGGCCAGCATATGTTCATTAATCATGAGATGACAATTAGATCTGATTTATGTCAGACATGCCGAGTTCAAACAGAGCTCTCTAGAAAGAAATTCCTGAGAACTCAGCCTTTCGTTAAGAATCCTGTGAGAGGGCTCATATTTTCACCTAACTCATCACTCTCCTTCACAGATAGCGCTCACTGAGTCTACAGGCACATCGTGGTCCTGGACGGGGCCTCCGCCAGCGCTACAGGAGGAATGTTCTCAAGCCCTAGCAGGTGCTCTCTGGGGCAGAGCGCCCAGTGCCATCCCTGCTGGGCCAGTACCACCTGGGACTGCTGACACTGTCATGTGCTGTTATCAGAGGCTGCTGCCAAGCCTGAGAGGGTAGGCAGGCCACTGCACCCACGTGGGGCGCATGTCCAGCCTGGCTGGCCCTGCAGGGCTTGGGGCTCTGTCTTCACCACACACAGCGTCCTGTCCCTACCAGCAGTCTACGCTGCATCGCGGGGCTTCTGTTCTCGGGTCAACTGAGGACAGGGGGCCTAAGAGAGGAATCCTGCGCCCAGAAGAGGGGACTTCCAGACCGGAGGTGAAGAAACAACATTCAATCCCACAAAACCACCACTTCCAAAACACACTCTCGCCCTACAAGAAAGAGCCTGCAACAGCTCACTCGTAACGAGCCCATCTGGAGTGCGCCTTCCAACCTAATTAAGCTCTAATACGCAGAAACATTTCCCCAGCACCTGTTCGCACTAATCTTCCCCTCCAGGGACGTTCCTGTTAAAAGCCCACTCTCTTTGTACCGTGCTATTCTCTCTGATTTAACTATCCAACTGTACCGTGTCTGCTCCCCAAGAAAATAAAGGTGCAGCACCCACCCCCCGCCGGGGGCGCCGTTGCCGCCAGTCCTGAGCCCGTCTGAGAAGGTAATTACTCTCTATTGGCCTGAGCACATGTCAGAAGGAGACGGTGGGAGGAGGACATCTTCATCCAAGTCTGGCAGACGCCAAGTGTCAGCAGCTCTCGTTCTACCTGGAGAAGGATGCTGGGGGCAGGGGATTGGCGGTGTGTGCAGCCTCCAAGATCCCCTGACACGGGCCACCGGGGGGGAGCACCACTGTCCTGACATCCGGACTCCAGAGTTCATGTCACAGACTGGAGAGGCCACGCATCAGCTTTTGGAGAAGGTGCATGAGGTCTCTAAAGTGCAGCCTTTTGCCCTAAAGAACTGGCCAGCCAGGTGACAAGGGCACAAGGCTGACACTCCACAGGACAGGGGTGTTGCTTGCAGGCTGGTGTTTAGGGAACAGTTCAGTCAGCAGCACCCCATTAGTGTCCAGCTCCTGGGTGGTGTGAGGGGCTGTGTGGCTGGCCCAGGGGCACTGTCACATGGCCCTTTAGGATGGTGAAAGGAAGGCTTACAATCGTCATTGGCCTGGCACCTAATAGCTGGACAAGGGAGAAATGAGAGAGCACGTCCAAGCAACTGAGATTCAGAAGCATCAGCTTTGAGTCTGCTCCTCAACCCAGGGCCAAGGTCAGCCCGAGAGCAGGCTCCATCAGGGGATGCAGGGCCAGACACCTGCAAGGCTCAGATGCTGGATGGACACTCGGCACAAGACAGCACCTCCTAGGTGAGGGGTGGGGCCCATGGCACGCTCAGGTGATGCAGCTGGAGGAAACGCCATGGGCTTTCTGGAGAGCATATGGGAGAGCCCAGCAGAAGGTACCAAATCTCCGCACAGCCATTTGTGGGCTCAGGTGGGAGAGTTAACCCAACACTGTTGGGAACGAGGTCCACAAACCAATCCAGCAGTCACTGACAGAGGCTCATCAACCAGTGCTCGCCTCCTGCCGGTGGGAGTCCGTGAGCATGAGCTGGGTCCTGAGGCGGGGCAGGAGAACCTCTAAGGAGCACAATCCCCAGGGACAAGCAGCAGCTAGTGTGTGTTCCCTTGTGTCCTTGCTGTTGTCGTTGACCCTCCAGCAGGTTTTCAGAGGCAGTTAACTGCACACAAGACTGTCCATCTTTCTCCCACAGAGCAGCTGGTAGATTCGAACCACATGTCTCTAGTTTCACAGTGCAAGTCTTTACCAGTAGGCCATCCACCGGAGCTCCCTTCCCCGAAACCATACAGGGGACAAAGGGCTCCTTCCTCCTGGCCTCCAGCACAGGCCCTGATGTGGCTCACGGAGAGGAGCTGCAGAAAAGGCCCTTCGCCCAGGCAGCAGAGCCGCGTCAGTGTGGGTCCATGCCAACAGGAGCGGCGTGAGCGCACGAGGCATTCCTCTCACTGCGCCCTGCCTCTGCCTGCTGCCCAGGCACATGCAACAGGGACCACGCGATACCCGGACAACACTGTGATGAATGCATCAACGCTGGCACCTCCTTTCCAAGGTCTAGTTGAAAATCAGAGCTCGAGTCTGCAGGAGGACTGAACTAAGTGCTGCCACGTTTCCTGTTGTTCTAACCGGTCTTTTCCTGATACAGGAAGGCCAAAGGACTCATACTGTGGGGCTAGAAACAAGCTGGGAGGAACTTCTCTCCACAAGAGGGCCAACAGGCATCTAAGAAAAAATCGTATGATTACAGAGGGGACACACACCCGGTGCAGCGACAGTGGTTACAGAAGGGACGTGTGCATGCCCGGGGCAGAGCAACAGCCTCCAGTCACCCAGCGACAGCAAACCTCCAGCGCAGGGCAGCATCGCTCCATCCAAGGCTCAGGACCCTTACGGCGGCGCACTGCCTCATCTTTCTCCCACGGACCAGAGTAGGGACCACAGACCACAGTATCATGACCAAAAGGAAAGGACAGATGTCCCCAGAAGCAGTGCTCGGACAATGGCGAGGAGAGCATGCCTCACAATGGAGAAGGGCTGGCCTCTGACCTCACACCACACTTCTGAAATCAAGGGACATTTACAACCTATGTGTGGAAGGCAAAATGCTAAACTTCTCAGCTGACACTATAACAAAACTATCTTTATGACTCAGAAGACTGAAGAAGAAAGAAAAAGGTCACAAAGTGGATTAGATTAAAAGTTTCTTCATCAGAAGATAGGCCACACTGAGCAAAGTGGATCAAGGCTTAGAATGGAGACACATGAAGAAGTCCTCCAAGTAGTAAGACAGAATGACCCCAAGATACCCAGGAAGCAGGCCTGAGCGGGCACCTTGCACACAGAGCGGAACGGCCAGTCCTGCAGGGGCTTGGGGCAGTCAAGCGGCCCTGCCTATTCTCCCCATCCGTGTGGGACCTGACTGTTGCCACCATGACAGGAACCCATCTACTTCACCAAGCCTTTCTCCAGGTGCGGATCACATACTCTGAGAAAGTTGAGTCTGAGTCTTTGCCTAGTAAGCATAACCCAGTAATGCACCTCTATATAAAAGACACAATTTCACAAACCATCTTGCTGACAAGACTTGGAAGCCAAAGACTTCAGTATGGATCACACACATTGCAATATTACAAAACAAACAAAAACCTTCCAACCAGAGCAATATGCAACATCATATTAACAGAGAAAACACTGAATTTGTCAAGGATTTCTTTCTACTTGGATCCACAATAAATACAGAAGCGGCAGTCAAATGCCGTCCTGCAGTGGGCACATGCACAACCAACCAAAAGACAAAAACGGAAACCAAGGCAGCAAGCAAGAATTCTGGAGAGTGTCGCTGCTGTGAACCTCCAAGTCAGAACCAACTCACAGATGACAGACCCTCTAGCAAACAAGCACCACTAGGGTTTGATCTTTTAGCCTCCCAAGAATAAAAGGGTCAATTCTCATTCTTTGAAACTATACAAAAAGAAACTGTAATACTTACTTCTACGGAAAGCAATAATATTATTAGGGACAATCTTGTGTATAAAGCATTTTTTAAAAAATCTGCAGAACTAAAAAAAAAAAAAAATCTACAGAACTCAACTCCCAGGCAGGAGAGAAAGAGCAGTGAGTGGCACACGCTTGGTGGGCGGAGGACGAAGTTCACGACACGTCTCTGAGGACTGGGATGCTCCAGACACAGGTGAACAGCAAAACCAACAGCATGGAAATGCTCCACAAGAGCACGACGGGCGATCTCTTCCCATGTGATTTACTGACCCTGAAAACGCACTGGAGGGTCTGCTGGGAGTCGGATCCAACTCAACAGTATACAACAACATCAGGCCCGGAAAGGTTTCTGGAGCATGTTCTGGCCTGAGCCCAGAGCCAGACACTGCTCGGGTCCCCGCAAAGGGAGCCAGAGCAGCTTTAAGTACAAGGAGCAGTTCCATGAGGACACTGGCTGCAGCCCTGCTACTGGCCAGCCCACAGACCAAGTGTCTGAAGTGTCTGAAGAGAAGGTTAATGGAAATGAGGTCCTAGTGCAGCTGGTCTCACATCCTAACAGGAGTGAAGTGCCCTGCAGTCAGCACCCTCCCACCACCATGCTGGTTCACGCCGGACACCGCTCCCCAGGGAGCTGATGATGTATGAGGGTCATCAAGAGCTTTAAAGTGAGCGGGCCCCTGAGCACACCTCCAGGTCTGCACTACAAGCAGGGATTCTTCCTGCTTCGTCCCACAGACCATTTACAAGGAGACACGAAGGCCTGTTGGCTGGCCTCCTCCAGCAGTCTTGGAGCCCCAGATGAGGCCAAAGAGTGGCAAAAGAGCCACTGCAGAAGAAGATGAACCCCTCCCGGGATTCAGAAGTGGACTCCCAGCTGCCCATAGAGCGCAGAGAGAGTCCACTCCCTGACATCCGCCCAGAGGCTTCTGCTCTGGGGAAAGCGAGTGCTGTTAGTCAGCTTGACCACCTCCTGCCTCAAAACCAGGTTTATCCAGGGGAGCTCTGGTGGCCTAGTGGCAAGAAGCTGCAACTACAATCCCAGAGGTGCACGGTTCGAATCCACCAGATGCTCTGCCGGGTAAGGAGGGGCAATCTCCTCCTGTACCAGTCAGATCTGATTTGACGGTACACGCACACAAAAATAATAAAATTAAAAAACAAAAAAAAACCCCAGGTTTATCCATCAGAGGACTCCAGAGCTCAGCTCCTGCGTGTCAGGCTTACTGCTGAGCCCCAGGAGACCTGAGCAGCCACAGTGGGAGAGAGGGGCTAAGATCCACGTTCTTCTCACATTCCTCATTCTGTGGGCAGGCACGTTTCATGAGACCCAAATGTCTATCAGTGGTGACTGGGGTGTCCCAATAATAAAATGTGGTTCTGGTACAGAGAGGAGCGAAGCTGTGCTATGTGTGATGTCAGCTGCCCACGAAACATGCCGAGTGAAGTCAGACAAAGGCCACACAAGGTCCCTTCCAGAAAGGTTCAGAACAGACTACTCTGCAGAGGCAGAAGGCAGAGTGGCTGCCACAGGCTGTGAGCTTAGGGGTCACGGCAGAGGGGCACAAGATCTCCTTGGTGGGAACAAGAGTGTTCTAAAAGGGAACTGTGGTGATGGCTGCACAGCCCCCAGAAAGAGCTGAAGGGGTCAATGTGTGGGGTGTGAGCCGCAGCTTGATAACTTACTCTCTCACTACCACCAAGACATAAGGGACTCATAACTCAGCCTCCAGCAGGTTTTCAGAGGCTGTTCTTAAAAAACTCAAATTTTAACAGGAGTACCAGGTAGCTGGACATTTCCTAAATGTGGTCGAAGCACTAAAGGAAAAAGCCATCACACTGGGAAAGCTAGACGGTCATCCGTCTTTGTCTTGGAACTGACCTGATGGCAACAACTGGTCTTAGCATGGCAGGGACCATGATGGGGCAGGGGAGGCCAAGGCTCCGAGGCTCCTTCCTATCTGTTCATGGGGTCGCTGTGTCATTGCTGACTCAAAGGTATCTAACAATGACACAGATTCAAGTAGTTCAACAGGCCAGGGACAGGACACTCAAGGAAAACCAGACCAGGGCACACTGCAGCAGCCTGGTCAACAAGGCAGCACAGAAAAGCACTGTCACGCAGCCGGGGGAAAGGACACATCATGGGCAGAGGGAAAAGCCACGGCTCGGCACACCTCAGGTCTCCTGTCAGGGATAACGGGAGCCAGAGGCCACGCGGAGACACTGCCTCCGAGATCTCTGCAGTCAGCTCCTCCTCGGGGCACAGGAACGCTGACCTGCCGAGACTTCTCAAGGAGCAGGGCGATGGCAGCCACCAGGAGGAAACTGGTCTACCGGGAGGGGACCGGTCCTGTCTCATCACAGGCAGGAGCAACTCCTGAGAGCAGAGCGCATGCCTCTCAGGAGACATCCAACTCCTACATGTTCAGAGTTGACAAAAGTTCCCAATAAATATACTTTTTTAGCTTTCACAAGTTATCAAGACCCGGAAACAGATAGCTGTTATCTAGAGCATTAACCTCATCCTCCGTCTCCGTGGGAAAGCCCAGTCTCTGCACTGGTGAGATCTCGGCATTGGCATCACTCTCCTTCTCAGAATCGGCAATGTGTGGAACAAAGGTCTGACAAGGTGTTTTAACTGCAAACTTGGTGGGTATTTCCACTTCTGGTATAAAACTAAAACCACAGAAGCCTGAGGAGTTGATAATGAACTCTGGAAATGCAACAGAATGTGCTATGCATGTTCACAAACAGATTTTCAATACCCACAGCTCCTCAGCAGTAGAAATATCCAAGAGAGACGTCCACCCCATCTGCAGTCAGTCACTGACGAGATTCACCCAGTGTTTACCTTATAGAACACGTCGGGCACGTACTGCTCGCTGCTCGACTCCTTGGCATAGCCAAGCTCAGGGGCGTCTTTGCACGGCAGCAGACACTCATCTCGAACCAGGGCCATGCACTGATTGGACACCTGGTAACCTTCAAAGTGGACCTGGTTGTCAGGCCCACCTGCAACAGAAAGAAAGAGCTTCAGAAAAATATCTACCAAACAGACTTCAAGGCACAAATTTGATACTTCGTACTTCTGACCAAGAACAAAAGACAACCCACCGAAAACTCTCACTCACTGCTGATTTCAGAGTGGCATGAGCACCCAGACACCATGGCCTTGTGCCAGTGGCCCCCAGCACTGTATCTTCACAAACCACACATCTTATCAGGATCCAGGGAACGCTGCTGTTGGGTAGTCAAGTCAATGACTCTCAGCACAGTGACCCTGTGACCAGGCTGGAACTACACTCCCCCGTGACCCCCTCGAGGCCCCAGCCCGCTGCTGCAGTCACTGTGGCTTCCCATCTTGTTGAAGGCCTTCCTTTCTCTCGCTGACCCTCCACCTTTCCCAGCATGATGTCAAAAATACATGAGATGACGTTTTAGCATCCTCGCCTCCAGGGAGCACCCTGCTTGCACTTCTGCCAAGACAGATTTGTTTTTAGACAGCCCACGGATTCTTCTTTTGTCATCACTAGCCAATGACCAACTTTCAAATATACATGAAGCAAATGAAAATATGGTGTGGCTCCTATGCGCCTTGCTCGTGAGCCCTTTAAAGACATCCTTGACGAACTTTCCCCCTAGAACATGCCGTGCTTCTACCCTGGGTGCTGACTGTGGATCAGAGTAAATAATCCTCACCAACTGCCATCTTTTCTGTTTACTAGGACACCGCCTACTGGTCTCAAGGTGAGAATGGATGGTCTCTTGATGCTGCGGTGTTACCTAGGTTGAAGGCTGTAGTCTGATATTCTGCAGCAAGCGCTTAGTTAACAGTACCCTCTGACAGGTGCCCAGAAGCATGTATGTTCAGTGTCAACAAGCACCTGACTCCTGCTTTTTACCCACAGACTTATGCCCCTGAATGGACTGGAGGTGAGGTAGAGTGGGGAATGGATAGATACATCTGGAAATAGGAGGTAAGAAATGGATGGAAGAAAGTTAGTAGTTAATGTTCCATGTCAACTTGGCTCACCAGTACTCCCAGTGTCTGGGAACCATACCCCCTTTGCCTGCTTTGTACTACCATGGAGTTATGTGTTATAAATACCAAAGCCCTAGACGCTAAAGAGGCAGGATTAGTGTGAGGTGTCAACTGCTTTATACTTTTACTAAAGGGGTGACTCAAGCCCCCTCTTTGCTCGAATAATGGGTGTTTCCTTGGGGGCATGTCTGCATCCGAGCGATGGAAAGCTTGAAAAAGCTCTCTTGTTCTCAAGCCTCCAGAGCAACACCTGAGCACTGCTTCCTGGGACATGGGAGCCTGCAGCCTGCCCTGTGCACTCTGGGCTCTCCATCCTCTGCAAACACCTCCAGCAGACTGCCGCCTGAACCACAGGCTCAGGATGTGCCAATTGCCACAAGCTGTTGCTCTGAAATAAACCTCTCTCCTTCCCTTTAGCTACCGACCCACCTACAGACAGACAGACAGACAGGCACACACGCCTTTCTCTCTCCTCCCCCTACTGCTTTTGTCTCTAGAAAATCCCACCTAAGACAGTAAAGACTTGTTCTTGGGGGCTAGCAGCAATTAACAGTGACCCTGAATGCAGAAGCACGAACCTGCCTGAGCCTGTGGGCTGAAGAACCAGAGAAGATGCCATGGAGTACAAGCAGCTCCTCCAGCACCTGCCTTGCATACAGAACAGTCTCCCCGACAAAGCCTCAGAGCCACGGGCTGTGCTGTGCAGAGACTCTTCCTTCACTGCTTACTCTAACCCTACGCTGAGTTGAGAGTCATCCTTAATGTGTGATAGGTGACTGGAGAAGGAACACCTGGCTTTGGAGAGGGAAGGAAAATGGCAGGCAGTGCTGGACAACCTGCAGTCCACTAAAAAAGCAACATGAATCCAAGTGAAGGTTCTCTTAAACGGTACTGAGTGAGATGAATCGCAAATGCCTCTCCACAGGACCAGGAAGAAACAGGCCTCAACAAGGCTCACGTTTCCCTGCCAGGATGGTAGCCTGACCAGGAATGAAGACTGTGGACAGCTGACCAACGCCCTCTCTGGCAGTATCCATGTGAGCTGGCCGCAGGCATTGGCACAGGACCTGGACCGGGACTCCACTGGGTGTGCAGACCTTCTGGAAGGAGCTCTGTCCGTCCCGGCGCTGTGGTGAGGAACAGCTCCCTCCAAGGTAGTGCTGGGGCCAAACACACCTGGCCGTCCTTCTCCACAATCCCTCCGGCTCGTCCGCGGAGCCACAGAGAAGTCTGACACGCAGTCAGCAAGCTCGCTCTGCATCAACAAGCCTTGGATACAGCTCCAGGGACAACACCAGCCTACTCCTGAGAGATGTCTGAACACAGCAGGTCAGGGCTGTCCAGCTGAAGCTACTGCCAGACTTCTGCAGAAGCCATGCAGACAGCAGCAGGACCCTGGGCACACCCCAGTTAAGAAGCTGCAGGGTGGTAGGGAGGGCACTCTGTGCATCACAAACACCCAACACCCACATCACCACGAATGACACCATTCCTGAAGGGGCCTCGGAGAAACGGGAGCAAGGTCATGTCCTGGGCAAGAACCTGTCACCAAGGGGGCCGGGCCAGCACACAAGCACAGGAAGACCATGTTGACCTAACACCTTGTCAGAGCAGCACCAATTCTGGAGGGAAAAATTCCACAGACAAACTGCGTGATTTTCAAACCGCCAGGGTCTGACTGAGTAACTCAAGACCCAAACAGTCTCCAACTTAAGAGGCTCCCGACAATTCTAAAAATGTGCTTGCTTCTTGCCCATGGAATGCTCTCCCCATAGAAACAGTTGTTAAAGGTCGAGGTTACCATGCAAACCCACGAGAGACCAAAGCCACCGCCATCAGGGGGGTGGTCTGGCAGGTACCTCAACCATTCGAGGATGCACAGCAAAAATACTGCCATCTTGGCATGTCCGGAGTGCCCACACAGCATGTGGATGTCGCTAAGCCAGACTGACCTGAAAGGAGGTTGCCCTCTGCACAGCACCACAGACACAGTGCCAGCACACCCAGGGCAGGCTCTGGCTTCGGCTCGGAACAGGCATGAACTGTGCCGGCCGTCTTGGAAAATCCATAATGGGACAGAGGGAGCATGTCACCTGCCACTGTACCCAATACAGCGGGCTGTGCTGTAGATGCCCTGTCTCCTCACGACAGGCATCCTCACCAGGCCAGCCCCAATGTCCTCACAGGGAAATGCAAGTGATAAGCACTGCTCTCGTCCCTTCACACTTGGAACCTCACTAAGAATAAACAAAATCAGTGCTGCCTCTCACTCAAAGGTGCATCCACCCCAGAAGCACATGCTTGTGGGCAAACAACTAGCCTTGGGCTCTGTGCCATACAAGGCCAGGGTAAAAACTTGGAGGAGCAGGAAAGGAAGGCCTTGCCAAAGTCTCACAGGTGAACACGGGTCCATCACTCACACGCTTGGCTGTCTACTGGACGTGGTGTTGGGTGGGCTGCAGAACTAGAGAGCCACAATACGTAAACCGCTGTGCATCCATGGAAATGACAGCCCTGTTCTGGATGTCACACTAACCCAGTGGTCTGTGGGATGCCGAGGCCACTGGTGCACAGCAGACCTCCATCATCCACGGTCACTAGGCAGGGGCAGGAGTGGCGCTGGGCTCAGACGCAGGTCCAGCGTTCAAATCTTCAGCACAGTGCAGGGAGGAGACAAACCTCCAGGTGCATGAAGGAAACTGCTGAGCTAAGGGTAAAAAGCTACTGAGACGGGGACAAGGGACACTGATCACTAAGCACAGTCACGGCCAGTTCTGGCACAGCTGGTACCTGTTGCCACAGCGGTGACAAACTTGGATCCAAAGTGTCCGTCAGGGGAGAGTCGACATATGTTGGGATGCTTGTTTTGGAAGTCCCCTGCAGTGATACATTCTTCTGAACTCAGGAAGTAAGTGTCCTAAGACAAGAAAAGCAGCACATGAGTCCCAAAGCATCGTGTCAGAATATACATGGAAGCCACACTGAACAAACGCTCCCACGCCCAGCCATGGTGACCTCTGACCTCCTCTGGTAAAGAAGCAGCCAGGTACAGGCCTGATGGCCGGCCGCAACGCCAGCCAGCTCTCAGTAGGGAGAGCAGTCTACTGGGGGCCAGGCTCGGGGGAAGGGAGTACACACATAGGTCCTGGAGCCTGTCAAGCGGTCTGTGCGCCAGCAACTCGGCTTCACTCACCTTATTTCGACTGTAGCGGACAGTGCCCTTCCGGGTGTCTTCAGAGACAAGGTCAGTAAATATCCAGCCAACCTTAATTAAAAAAACAACAACAAACCACCTCTGAGAGTGTGTCTGTGACAGAAGCAGCATGCTGTAAGCTTCTGCCCGGTGAGCCAGTGTCGTGAGGGAGAGGAGAGCCACGCAGGGGCAGCTGGGCCTCTCATTAGAGAGGAGACAGGCTGCCCGAAGAGCATGATCATCTGAGTCATGGGGGTCAGGGCTTCAGGGAAGTTCTGGGGAAGGAGAAAGCACCTCATCGGTGGTCCAGCTGCACTGCCCCACACTCACTGGCTTTCTCTACCCACTAAAATCCTGCTGTTCTAGTCTCAAAACCCGATTCCCTGTCTGAGGCTGTGGAGTAGGCCAACCTCACTAGCACCCCCCATCAATCAGCTCACTTCCCTTTCTTTAGGGAGTAGCTAGAAAGGTTGGGGTTCAGCTACCTCATAACCCTCCAGAAAAGGCCTAGTGAAGTGTTCCTGTACCGGATCACAGCCAGCTCGTAAGTCAAAGGCTAGCATCACCTGTGAGCAACGAGCTCCTGAGAAACCACCTGCACAGGACCCAATGGTCCAAAAGGATCTAAGGCCAAGATGCGGTGGTGAGGAAGCTAGAACCCTGAAAAGGGAGCCAACAGCACAGGATGTGTGTAGAAAACGTTAACCTGAACCCCAACAACAAAACACTAGGGAAAAAAACCCAAAACCACACAAAGCATGCAGTGCAGGGAACCTTATGGAACAAGTCTGCTTGTTACAAGAAGGCTCTAGACACTGAAGAGACAGAACAACACCCACCACCCACAGGCGCCTGGCCCCTGAAGCCCCCTCCTTCAGGCTGAGCGGGGCGTCTTGCTCAAGAATATCCACACAAACACAATACCAGAGGAAGGGGCCAAGGCAGAGCCAATGACAGGGACGACTGCTAAACCAAGACAGATGCCACGTGGAGGAGATAGACAGGAAGGACCTTTAAGACCTACGACAACTACAGGGAGCTCTCTGGTGGCTTAGTGGTAAGAAGCTGCGCTGCAGAACTGAAGGCATAAAGTTCAAATCCACCAGCAGCTCTGCAGAAGGATGGGCAATCTCCTCCCGTGTGAATAACCTCTGAAACCTACTGGAGGGTCAGCTATGTGTTGGTGGTTCCAACTGTGACAACACACAATATCACAGCTACGGTTGTTATAAACTTTAGATTTTTAATGGCTTAAATGAAACAGAAGTCAGCAAACTGCACTCTGTTAACACAAGAGAATTTGCAGATTTGAACCAAAAAAAATGCAAGGCGGAATCAAGGTTCTGATTCCTCTAAAACAAAAGGAAGTATTTTTTTCTCAAAAAGTTTAAAACAGACACTTGCTCAGGAACATTGCTACCTTCTAAATCCTATTCCTAGGAAAGAACATGTTTTTTCACTGTCTAAAAGAATCAAGAAATCAGTAGAACCTAAAATGTGTGTATCTCTGCCTACTGAACTTCAGGACAGAAGTTTTCAAAGTCACAGCAAGCATGTGTCCATGAATACCTCTCTCCAACAGATAGATGTGGGAGAACCAGAGCAACCGATTCAGAAGCCCATCTCTGTCTCCCTAGCACCCAAAGAAGTCAAGAGCAGGCCTTGGAGAGGGCTGGTATCTGAGGGGGAAGGCCCAGGACCCACCAGTGCACAGGCCAGGAGGGGACATGAAAGGACAGGACAGAAAGGGGGCGTGAGGGGACATGTGGAGAGTAGGAGCAGGCACACAGCACGGCAGTCTTCTCCACTGGGAAGCATGGGGATCCTCACTGTTTCCCTGCTCACTGTCTCAATGCCAATGAGTCACGGTCGACTTACAGCTGACCCTCCAGCAGGTTCCCAAGGCTGTCACAGGAAAGTCGACGGCTCATCCTTCTCCCATGGAGTCAATGGTGGATTCGAACCACCAGAGACAGAGCTTTTGGATCAGCAGTGCAACTCCCTCTGGGCTACGCCACCAGAATGCCCATCCCCTGCTCCACAGCAGCTCAATTACTGTGGCCGGAGGTTCTCAACCTCACAGCTCCTGTGTCTGACCCATCCCCTAAAGCTACAGGAAGTTGTCCCTGGAAAACAAACACTACAACTGCCCAATCACCCTGCATGGCTTTTGCAGTGCTGTGCCCTGCGCACCCGCTATGTCCCCAGACACGCAACACGCACCCACCCCCCTCCCCAGCCAGCTGACAGATGCCTTGATACCTTCCTCAGGCCAAGTTTGGCGGCGATTTCGTCGACCACCTCCGCTTTCGGATCTTCAAGAAGCTCCAAGCTGTTCTGTGTACCAATCTGAAGGGAGGTCAGAGAGAAGTGTGGGCATAGGGAAACAGCACTCCTTTGCCTCCTTGGCACCATGTGGCAGTGTTGGTCTACTTGGCAGGGAACTACAGCCAACAGGAAACGGCTAGTCTGTTAACTCAAACATGCCCTTCCATCGGGCACTTCCCATCTCTGTGCACCTTCAGGAGCGACTACACATGGGCAGTGATCAGCAGGTCTGGGCAAGGGGTCACAGGGTGTGTGCTGCTGGTGAAGGGCAAGGGAGCCGGCCTATATCCTGCTTCACAGGGAAATACAGTTGTTTCCAAACTTCCCTGGATAAGGACCCCAAGTTTGGCTAGACTGTCCCTGGAAAACTAGCAGTTCTCACAGGAGCAATGGTGCGCTTCCTGGTCAAAGCGCCACCTTAAAGACAGCACCTGTGAGAAGCAGCACCTCCACCTGGCAGATCTGCCTCTAGGCTCCCAGTGAGCTGGCGATGTTTTCAAACACAGTAATCTCCAGTTAAATTTGGCTTTAGGTGGTTAGTAAGTTGTCCTGAGCAAAAAGCCCAGATAGGGGAAGAGACAGTGAGTGTTACCTCAAATCTAGCTATACCAACAGTGACTTGTTGTCAAATTTCAGCAAAGTAACAAGGGTTTTGTTTGTTATGTATTGTCCGCATGGAGATGACTAATCCCGCTGGTGGCAGGTCACACGTACGGAGAGGTACCTGCACAATGACGTGCTGGCACAAACGTCAGCTCCCAATGAGCTGGTAGCCACCAGCAGTCAAGCACGCCACCTCCAGGACTCCATCAGGAGAGGTCCAGACCTAGAGGCTGGTTTGCATCTTTCTCAGCAGCTGTCTTTACAGCATCGCATTCAAGCTCTTTCATCAGAACTGCGTCCCCAGGGCACCTCAGTCAGGGCTTGGAGGACATTCTTCACGTGTCTCTACTGACCTCTAGTGCCTCTTCTGACACATGAACCTGGCCCCACAGAGACTAGCGTGCAGAACATCAGAGGGGTCAACAGGCATTCAGAGCACAACGACAATGCTGCAGGGACAGACGGCAGGGGCTATGCAGGCCTCTCATCCCAGAGGCGCAGCAGCCACCCCCACAGCCTGGAGCGGGGGATGTTCTTTCTGGGAGAGTGAGAAACAGACTGTCGGCAAGAATGACAGACACGCAAGAGCAGGCCCAGGGCACGTGACAAACACTGCGGAGGCAGGTGATCAACTAAACCACCCACAGGAGGCAGGTCCGACGAGACCCAGCACCAACACTCTGTGTCCTCGAGTGGGTGCACAGACTGGTAAGGAAGACTGACCCCAGGACACAGAGACTAGAGTGTTCAGGGGCTGGGGTCTCACTTTCCAACAGTCCAGAAAAGAAGATATCATGTATGGAGAGACAGAAGGGCAGGGAGTCCTGATCCAAGCTGGCCGGGACGAGCTGGGCACCCACAGCCGTCACACAAAGCAGCACAACACTCCTGTACTCAAGTGTCCCTACCTGGGGGGGCTCGTAGATGGCAGCCACCTCCGCCCTGATGCCGAGAGGGATGTCTCTGTGCTCTGTGTACCGGCCATACAAATACCCAAAGTGCTGGTTCCCGGTCTTTCTCCAGAAGTCAAGGAAGCGGTCCGCCACAGTGTGATTCTCAAACATGATGTTGTCCACGTGTCTGTACTTCTGCAGAGCAGGGGGACAGCTAACAGGTGTGTGGATGCAAACACCATTTCTGCACAAGCACTTTCCCCAGTTCCTGAAAGAGGACCTCCATGCTGACAATGTTTCTGAAGCAGGCTGCCAGGCCACCCCCATGGCACTGTCGTTGACACGAGGCATTGTGTCAGACCCGCAGCCGACCCACTTCGGGGCAAATCAGCGGGGCCCACATCATAAGTCCATAAGCATGTGCATGAGTGCAAGTCAATAAACAGATCCAAATTCATCTCACTGAGATGTCACTTCAAGGACAGGCTTCCCCCATCTTTAGGGTAAAAGTACAAAGTAGACCAGTGACTGAGGGCCCAGGAGGGCTTGCCCCTGTCCCGAGACCACTCTCACAAGAGCTGCAGCTCCAGTGTGTCAAAATGCAGCGTCTCACCACTCAGCACATGCCACTACTCTCGAGAAACAAAGCCTCCAGCCATTGCCCGTCCAGCCCAGCCCAGGCTCCCCGTGGAAGAGCTACATCCATACACGAACACCCTCAGTGGAAGAGATGCCAAGCTCCCGCTGTGCACAGCTCTCTGCTAAGGGCCTTCCCCTCTGGACAGGGCCAGAGTCAAACTCTCACCTGTCTGTTGAGGGTGATGGCGCTGGGCTGGCACTTGGTGCAGATGCCATTGGGCCATGGGAGATGTCCCTCGCAGCCTGATTTGATCTTGCAACTGATGTTCTCAAGGGCCACAAACTTCCCCCTGAGAAAGAGAGAAGACTCACTGTGAGGTCAGAGGCCGCAGGAATGACCCCCGAGAGCAAGCGCATGGTGGGCAACCAGGCCCCAGGCCGAGTCCACAGAGACATGCACCATCTTCCCAGACACCAGCCCCTCTCCTAAGACTGGTGACCACCTACCACCTCGTGTCTGAGCCACACCAAGGAGGACACACACCAAGGAGGACACACACCGAGGAGGACACGGAGCACCTTACACATCAATAGCACGTACAGGTGCAACAACCTTGAACTACAGTCACGGGGAAGCCTTCGCTCTGTGTCTGCTCAGTCAGTCAAGAGACAGTCACAGCTGGACCTCAGTGATCCCAACCTCAGAGCCAGTGCCTGGGAAGGTTGGCAGGGAAAGATGTACCAAGACACGCCCACAGACAAAATACGGCATCTCCATGTGTCTAATTCATTTTCTGGGCCAGCTCCAGGTGAACCTGGCCTTTTCAGCGTGGCTGCCCCCAGCGGTGTTGGCAGGATTCACATGGCCAGGACCTAGCAGCATCCTCTCTACAGCCCTGCTCTGCCTGCCCTCCCTTCCTGACTCTCCGAGGGCTGTGGGCTCAGCCCCGTCAGGCTGTGGAAATGAAGCTGAAACTCTAAGGGCTGTGCAGTAAGGCTGCCACAGCGGCTCAGCCTCTCTCAGAAGCAGAGGATGCGCGCAGCACCACGGACTAAATGGCCTGCAGAGGGGGGTCAGTGAACCTTGAGGGACTAGTGTCCACAGAGCCCGTCACCAACACCCGCCCAAGGAGTCAACTAGGTCATAAATGGCACCCCGATCTCTGCTCATTTCACACACACGACAACGGCCACAGGCAATGACAGCCAGAAGCCTAAGAGTAGAGGTGACGTGTGCCCAGGCCACGGGGGGTGCAGCCAGCTGGTGCGTACTTGTCGGCCCCGCCAGTCAGCTTGCGGATGTAGGCGTGGAAGGACATGTGCTTCACTGGAGGTTCAAGATGGTTCAGGTAGTCCTCATCAAACGGCTGTCAAAACACAGGGAGTAGCATGGTCATGGTCACAGTCACAAAGGGGCACTGCTCGGGGGAGGCTCAGCAGGCAGCACGCGGATTTGGCCAGCTAGGCCCCAGAGAGCAGGGTGCAGGATGTTCAGCTTTCCTCTGCACTCAGGGTCAGAACCATATTGTCTCTGAATTACCAGTGATCCTATCAAACACAGCATGCTCTAAATGAAGTAATTTTACACAAAGGAAAGCCTCATGCTGAAACAGAGGCTGGTGAAGGTCAGGTTGTCACATGGCAGTAAATCTAGTGCTGACTGGCAGCCATTATCCTGCACACTCTCAATCTCACCAGAGAGTACACCCAGAAAATGAGAATTTCTGGGCAAAGATAAAAAATATGGAGAGCACAAAGCAACAGGCCCTCTCCACGCCAGTCCTCAGAAGGACTGTCCAAGAAGCTGCTGGACAGGCCATCCCTATCTAGCCATCTATAATCTTCCCAAAGGTCATTCTCATTAATCCAGGAGTGGCTTTCCCGTATCTGTATCAACACAGGGAATGAAACCCAGGGCAGGAAACAACCAAGTCCTCCAAGCTGCCGCAACTGCTGGGTCAGCAGCCCCCAGGGCTCACCTCTGACCATCTGACCCTTACCTCAAGTGGAACACAGTGCACACATTTCCCCAGTGGGCCGTGGCGGCACCTGTACAAAGAGACAGAGCGGTGAGCAGGGGCCTCCTGCTGTTCCTGTGATCACAGTGTCTTTTCCACACCAACGGGCATCCGCCCAGCTTCGGGAGGATCCTGCCCAGGACATAAATGTCCCTTTCTCCCTACAGTCAGTGTTGGCTTTATACAGAAAAAAAGCACCAGGGTCTACCACTCTTGTGTCATGGTCTGAACAACACCAACTGATAGGGAAAGGATGCTGCGTGGGCCCAGCTGTCAGTGAGGTGCGGAGCCAAGGGTGAGGGCATCAGGAGGTGGGCACCAGGTGTCAGGACGTGAGGGTCAGGCACAGCAGTCTGCTGGAAGGACACAGGATGTCCGAGTCCATGCGCTTCCATCACAGAACACTGGAACACTCAACATGGACAAGTGAGAGAGAGCTGTCCCCATGGAGGAGGGGAATGGGAGCCATCAGGCTGGTGGTTTCTCTGAGAGCCCCTCAGACCACCTTCTAAACAAGGTGGAGTGGGTTCAACACCTTCAAAGGAAAGCTAGGTTTGGTGTGTCCTAAGAGGCAGCCTCTTACTGAATACATGTCAGAATGAAACACACACACACACTCTCCCCCCCGCCATGAAGCTGCCAAGACAGGCCGCTGAGAGAGAGAGTTTGAGTGAGCGAGCACTGGTCCCTGGGGAGTTCAAATGGAGGAAGCAGGCTGGCTAATGGCTATGGCTGCGTGGTGGACCTGGGCCAGCTGCAGCTGAGCCCCATTTGCAGCTCTTCAATCTAAGGCAGAGAAGTTGCTAATACAGCATTTGGAAAGGCAGTACTTCAGTGTCAGCGCCCCACCAAGTTCCCAGAACTGTGCACATCAAGCCACCTTCCCTCCGGATCTTAATGCTGAGTGTGAACTGGACCCTTCTGCCGTAAGAACTACAAACCCACGATAAACAAACGCACATGTGCAAAGTGCCTCATCTAGCCCAGTGTGAGCAGTCTTCGAGGAGTGGCTCAGAGGAACGAGGACGTGTACAGTGCTCCTGGGTGCAGCCACCCCACTAGTACTAAGTGGTGGCTCTGCAGCTGCACCACCACTAACGGGCAGGCAGGGTGCTGAACCCGCACCCTCAGGACTAGGTGAAGGACGCAGACCCCGCTACCCCAGGAGACGGTGAAGGACGGTCACTCCACTCCCCCAGGACACGGTGCCAGAACCACTGCAGCAGTGCTAAGTAGGGCGGTGTGCACGGGCACAAGACCCCCTAACAGATGCTACTAGCACGTCCTCACCCTTTCCTTTCCTGGCACCACCTATGGTCTTTCTGAGGAGGCAGAGGGGGTTGGGGATGCACTGCTAACCCAAAGCGTCTGCCGCTCTAGTACTCTGAGTCCACCAGCTGCTCTGGAAGAGAAAGGTGGACAGACTCCTCTGATACAATCTGTAGCCTCAGACACTCTTCTGCCTTCAAAAAGAACAAGTATTCTCTCTGGGGCACGGCACTGTGAACACCTGTTTTGGGCAGCCGCCCTCCCTTCAAGCCAAAACAACAGAGATGCCTGCAAAGGGAGCAGTGACTCCTTCAAGGACACTCCACCCGCTCAGTGTCTAGCCAAACAATTACAAACCATCAACTCACACGGAACAGATGTGAAAGCTCAAACAGTGAAAAGACCTAACGAGAACGTCTTCATATGGAGGCAGGTTGAAAAGGTACGTTTCTTTGGCCAGGCGAGGAGCACCCTCGGGGATGGACAGGGAGCACGAGGAGCAGAGTGAGGCACTCACAGCTGGGGGTCGCGGCTTCGGTAGATCTTGCCGTCCTGCTTGCTCAGGTACTGATCGATCTCATCCTCCACCACAGGGGGTGCTCCCAGGGCCTTCACTCCCAGCAGGGCCGATGTCTCCATCTCTGACGAGGGTCCAGCAAGGCTCGAGGGAAACAGGAAGAGGAGGTCTCCATGTCTGTAAACAAAGTGGGTTAGATGGGAGCCTTTACACAGCCCCTGGGGGGCATCTGCTGAGGCCACCCAATGAGGACAGGCAGTCTCAGGAGTCATCTAGGTCGGCTGGCATAATACATGCCACAAACCAACACTGTGCAGCCTACTCTGCAGAACAACTGGGCTGGAACCAGGGCTTGGCAGGAGCTATCAGAGACTTCCCATCTGGAGCTGGGCAAAGAGAACACCAAAGGCCCAAGGAAACAGCCCAAAGAAACAAATGGTCCCATGGACTGCAGCATCCATGACCAAGACCAGAACGAGATGGTGCTCAGTGACCACTGTGGACTTGACCTCCATCAGGGTCAAGGGGGAAGGACACAGGCAGAGTGAGCCACGACTGCAGACCAAACCCAAAATCAGAAGGAAGATCCACCTGGGAACAAACACTCTGGAAGGCGGGTTGGCATTTCATCTACAAGCTGAACACAGATTCCAACTTCTGCTCTATTGATCTTCTGTCCTCTGGTTTTGTATGTTTCCGAGCCGAAAGGGTGACAGTGCCACCAGTATGAAGCATTTGATGAAGTTAAGTCATGAAACTGTAACCGAATTGAAGAATGAACACAGGTCCACGGAACAATCACAAGTGTAGATGTCAGCACGAACACACATGTTAAAGCTGTGAAGACCCTGAAGAACAGAGCCTGTCCAACTGGAGACAGTGACTATTCGAGGAAGTAACATTCGGTATGCCATTCTGTCAGACAGCTCACCTTTGGACACTTTACTTGTGGATTTTGAACCTAAGGCGAAGTCGAAGAAAAGGGAAGCTGCTATTGTAAGAAGAGGGGAGAGCCAAGGTAGGGGAAGAGGATGTGGTCATGGCAGAGCAAGAGGGGGGCCAAGACAATAAAGTCTTTAAAGATTACTGTTTTAACAGGTAAGGTGATGTGGGATATTGTTTTGTACAGGTTTTGTTTGTCAGTTTTTAATAAACATAAAAGTGAGATGAAAAAGAAAATATAGTAAAAGCTGAACACAGAAATCCCATATGACCCAGCTATTCCACTGCTAGGACTGACTATACCCCAAGGAAAACAGAACTGAGAAAGAGAGATCTGTGTACCTGTGTTCACAGTAGCACTAGTCACAACACCAAAAAAATGGCAACAGTTCAAATGCCCATCAACAAACAAAATGATTGTAAAATTATGGTATATTCACATAATAGAATACTATGCAGCACTAAGGAATAACAATTTTGTAAAATACAACATGGGAGAAGACAGAGGGCTGAGCGAACTAACACAGTTTCATAGAGCAAATAAGATCGTTATTGTAAAAGCAGAAAGATAACTATTAAGATGTATATTTAAGTCCAAGAGAGGACAGCGAGAGGGACAGAGGTGAAGGGGGCGGGGGAATCATGACAGAGTTTGGTGGGTGGAGGAGAGTATGAAGTAATTAGGAAAGAGCCAATGGGGACCTGAAAAAGATGGGGTGAAACAGGCATAGATCAGTGGTGATTAATGTTCTAAAACACAATGTGTTAAAAAAACAAAAAACAAAAAACACCACAATGTATATGAGTGATGGTTTGAAATACTATGTGAGGAAAGGATGTGTTAAACAAAAATGGGTGTGAATAGTACACAACACACATGAATTTTGTATGCAAACCAACAGGAAATATTTTCTAAAGTGAAAAGAAAGAAAAAAAGGACACCAGCCTTACTGCCCTGAAGAGAAGGATGGAACCTTGAGAATGTGGCCTTTGGTGACCCTTCAGCCCTGGCCTGAGCCCTCCCACACTGTCCTGCAGTCAGACAACAGGGAGACCAGTAAAATGACAGCCACAGCCGTGAGGAACACGCTCTACAACAGCTGACCACAGGGGACCGATGCCCAGTGTGTGCTCAGAAGGCAGGAAAAGTGGGTGAGTGGAGACAGGAGTCCAGAGGCAGGTGGGGAGAGCGGTTGGTTACACTGAAGAGTTGGGGGTGAGAACTCAACATGACAGATCAGCACTGAGTTCTCTACAGCTGTAGGATCTTTGAGTTTTAGATCAACACACACACATCCTGACATATCCCTTTACAAGGATGAGCAGAGAACCCCATGTAGCGTTCTGCTTGGCCCCACTGGCCCCTTCTGTGCCTTTACCCTGGATGCAGGGCCTCATACAGTCCACCTGCCTAGGGCATGGCCTGTGCTCTTCCTCCACCCTCACGTGCACATGTAAGGACACAGACAGTACTGGAGTCTGCACGTCATTATTTTATACAAGTCGGATTATCACAGCCACCTTTTCCTTACCTGGCCCCTCCTCCCAAAGGCCAACAGAACAGTGTCACTTTTCATGGCTGCACAGTGTTCCCTGGTGGGCCCCAGGTCTGCAGGATTCCACCACCATGACCACTGGAGACAGAACCCCAGCACAGGCACAACAGACCCTGGGACAGACTAAAGGGCTTCTGCTTGTTTTCAAAGCCTCAAGATTACCTCTTTTACAAGAGGCTGTAATAATGCAAATTTCTGTATCAATAATTTTTTCTAATTTAAATGGAAATGAGGTTTCTCTCTTGCTCTGACTTGCCCCGCAGGCTTACTGAAGGGCCTGATGGATCAACACACACCAAACTAAGGAAGCCTGGAACTAAACTAGCATGGCCACCTCACAAGCACTCACGGGATCACTGGGCTCCCGAGTCTTGCGTGAAAAATCAGCACGGGGTGGAGAAGCAGCAGCACAGGCAGCAGAGGGGCTGAGATTCCAGGGAAGAAGACAAGGACATTGAATTCCTGTGGAGACCAGGCACACCAAGGAACATGAATCTACATGCTGAATCATCTCTAACTCAACTATGCCACGGAGTCATCTGTAAGAAAAACAGCAGCTAAGCTCCCGAGTGAAGGTGGTCAGCCCTGGTCATGTCATGTTTAAAGAACAACGTATGCCATCAAGGGAGTTCTGGTGGTCTAGGGACAAGAAGCTGCACTGCAATCCAGAAGGCACATGCTTCGAATCCACCAGATGATCCCCTAGAGAAGGAGATGCGATCTCCTCCTGTGCCAGTCGGATCCGACTCGATGGTACACAACAAAAACCAAAACAAAACAAAGAACAATCTATGCCATCAAAATGACCAGAGAAAGCCAGAGGACAGACGAGACAGTGCTGCAGCAGCCTAGACCAGATAACAAGAACAGTGACAGTGCAGAGAACAGGGCCCGGGGTCAAGCCGGACAAGTGGACACTGCGGCATGGTGCCAAGAGTGCTGCTACACTGTCAGGATTGACTGCCAGGGCTATGAGACACAGGTACATAAACTAGTGGCAAGAAAACCAATCTGTTCTGTCAACCTTCATCCAGCCACAATAAAGATTTAAAAAATATGTGCGTATGTATGTGTACATACACAGATAGGTCTACAAGCCCATACCAAGGTCCATACCACCACAGTGGAGCAAGACTAGCAACCAGGTAGGACCTAGCATGACCTGTGGGGATGATCAGCATCTCCAAGAGGTGCAAGTGACCCCATCAAGAGGCCTACGTGGTCTTAGGTGGTACTTTTACCTCAACCAAATTTTCTAAAAAGGAAAGACATTGTTGAAACAGTGTATTCTATTACATACTTTTTTCACCCACCTAAAAGAAAAACACAGCCTTTCAAAGTTTTTCCCCCCCAAAACCCTGCAACTTGACCTAATCACTCTATGAATTTAACAAATACATGTTTAAACACACTGCTGAGCTTCAGAAAAGCAAAGGCAATCCCCGCCAGGGCTGCGCACACTGACGGAGGGTGGCGAGCAGAGCTCCAAGCTCCAGCACAGTGGCTTCCACATGGACCAGACGGGCAGTTCTAGTGAAGGACGATGTCTGGCTACCTTGAGGACCGCCAATGGGCACTCTGCTCAGAAGATCAGCCAGGAAACGTCACCACCAGCTCCTCAGGCCACGTCGCCCTCGTGTGTCACTGGACGTACATATAAACCTGCTCTGCAAGAAAGAGCTAAGCCCAACACGTTCTTCAGGATTCCCAGAAACAGAACTCCTTTATCAAATAAGCTCTAAGAAAGTCACGCAATGCCTGGAGAAACAAGCCACCATCAGCAAGAGCAGGTAGGGACGACAGGCCACCAAGGCCTCCAGCTTCCAGAATGCTGAGACATGGACATAAACATGTGTCTGCGGGGGTGTAGGAAGACTGGAAAACGCACAGCAGAGGTCTGGGGGGCAGGCCAGCCCACTGCTGAACTCTCCCCCACAACACACCCCCTGAACCCACACACAAAGGTCACACTGGGCTGGCAGGCAGAGAGGGGGTCACGTGTCACTCCACATCCCAAAATCCCACAGGAAAAGATAGACTGTCAACACCCTGAGACCCTTGAGAGTGGAAGCAAACAAGAGAAAAACCCCGAGTGACACGAGAACTCACCTAGGGTCAAACCTAATGCCAGAAAGGAACAGAAAGGTGCTCCAAGCAACACTGTCCTGTGAGCGCCAATGCAAGGACAGGACAGGGGACAAAGTGCAGCCCTGCCAGGAGACTGTAGCAGGCAAAGGGGTGACAGTCTAACCCTCCATGTCCTGAGACCCAAGATGTGCTTGGCTACGAGGGACAGGTCAACAAAAGTCATCAAGCTCTGAACATGAACAGGAAAGAACATCAGGGAGCCAGGAATCACTCCAGTTTTCCTATTCCTTGCTCTGTCTACTGAGGAAAGGGTCAGTGGCACAGAGTGTAGTATGTCACAATGCTCGTCAAAAGGTCCACAGTCTGAAGCCACCAGCCACTCCTCAAGAGGATGACGGGCAGTTTCCTTCCGTAAAGATCTACTGCCTCCAAAACCCAGTGGAGAGCCGAGAGTCAGAACTGACCAAAGGCAATGGTTTGGATTGGGTTAGGACTAGGTGAACCGAGAAGCCCTGGAACAGCATGCAGCCTGGAGCCCCCAGTTCCCAACCCTGCACATGAGCCGTGACAGGCAGCAGTGCTGGGCACAGGCAAACATCTCACCATTTCAGTGAACACATAATGGAAAGCCGAAAGAGCACCAGCATCACCAGTCGCATTTGCCGTGGGTTTACATACAGGAACACAGAGCAGTAGCGCCAGGCATTGACCTCAGAAAGGCAGAACCAGACTCTGTGCCCATGACACAAAGAGCACACCACCTGGTCCAGGACACCAAGACCTCGTGATGACACCACAAGATCCAGAGGGCAGGACACTCCATGGAAAAGAACGGAACAAGGAACCCAAGGACTCAAAGTCATGAGCCAAAGCCAAAAACACGAAACCAGGCCACTGGGCCACGGCTCCCACTCAGGCCACAGCCACGCAGCCACGCAGTCCTCACCATGGCCACCGAGTTGGAAGCTGGGAAGGGGAAGCCCTTCAAGCTTCTGGGACTTTTAGATGTCCTAAACATTCCCTGTGCACAGGACTCAGTACTGTACGTTCACCAGGATCTGCTGTGGCTGGCCCTGAGCTTATCTTATTAACGAGAAGAAATGAGAAGATCGTGTGGTGTTGGAGAAGGATTTATTTTGGTGACTTGAGGATACTAGTTCCACTGTAGGTGTAATAACACAAAACTAAGAATCCAGGAAAGAACAGACAGAGAAGGTTATAAAAATAAGATTTTCTAGGGGAGCTCTGGTGGCCTAGTGGCAAGAAACCGCACTGCAATCCCAGAGGCACACAGTTCAAATCCACCAGTTGCTCTGCCGGGGAAGGAGGGACAATTTCCTCCTGTACCAGTTAGATCTGATTTGACAGTACACACACACACACACACACAAATAATACAATAAAAAAAATAATAAGATCCTGAAAGAAAAACTAAGAGCAGCACAAAAGCTGAACAGTGTTGTCAGAAAACAATGATACAGCTCTCAGATCAGCGGACAGAGCCAACATCAAGTGCACAAATCACGTGATCTTTACACACACTGGAATACATATTTGCAAATTTCTCTAGTTGCCCTGTACATATTACATACCTCACACTTTTTTTAAAAAAAGTAAACAGAAATTGCTGGCTGTGTGTTTGAAGAATAAAACTGTAAAATCTAGTATCACATGTTCTTAGTGGTAGGGAGGACCGACAAACCACCAAATCAACAAAACCTCCACTGTCCTCATTCAGACAGTTCCTGGGCCAAGGAATGAGCAGCCGTGCAGCCCCCAGAAGGCAGCAGGATGGGCGCTCGGCAGACACACCTGCAGGACGGCTGACTCTCTGGACCTGGTGGTTATGTGCAAAGGGGGATGGCTTGTAACTGGCCACCCACTCCAGGCTTGTCCTACATGGTTTTCTGTGTGTCTTATTTGACAACTTAAAGCAGCTTTTGAAAAAGACCCTAGGAGAGAAGAAAGTCAAATGAGGAACAGACACAATGAGGCTGGCTTTGATTGGTAATTCTTCAAGGAGGATGACTGTGCAAGTAGTTTCATTACATTATTGCCCACTTTTATACATAGTTAAAACATTCCAAACTAAAAATGTTGATACAATGATCCAAAGTAGGCGAGCCCTGGTGGCTAGTGAAAGGAAGCTGCACTGCAATCCCAGAAGTGAGCAGTTCCAATCCACCAGATGCTCTGCTGGAGAAGGAGGGATCTCCTCCTGTACCAGTCAGATCTGATTTGACGGTACGTGTACACGTACACGTACACACACACACACCCCAAACAAACAACAAAAACAACCAAAAAAACCAACAACAATGATCCAAAGTACATGTCTGTAGCTACACAAGCAAAACCCACGTGAGAAAAGATCAGGCAGACACCAGCAGACTCTCCTTCCTGAATCAAGCAAACACAAGCAATGTGACCCAAGACAAGTGATTCAAAGTGGACAATGTCACCTGCAGAGGACGATCAGCCACACTGAAGGCTGAGCAGCAGCTCTGGAAGCCAGAGAACAGCAGAATAAGACTCTTCAGAGCTCACAGACATCCTGGTCTTTTCCAGACATGTACCAAGTGGATAAATCTCAGTGATAAAATCTAGCTCTCCAACTCTCTGTCCCTGATGGCAGTAAGGACCCAACTACCTTGAGGACAATCTGTGAGCACACAAGATCGAGGTGCCATCTCTCAGACTCTCTAACTGCTACTCCGGCTGTTTGTGTCACCTCTGCTGTGTCCAGATGGCAGGACAGTCAAAGCCATATAGGGGGCCAGGCAAGGGGGCAGGCACTGACCCCAGCAGCAGGGCCGGCAAGCAGCCTGCCCCAGGCACACGGCCAGGAAATCCAGAGTGGCTCCCGGCTAACACAACTGTCCATGTTGCACAAAAGCAACGAATAGACCGTACGTCGACAAATAGGGCGGCCACATGGAGACGGACAGAGGAGGACTGACTAGCAGGAAGTATGGGGAACTGGGGCTTCCACTCAGCAGCCCCAGCATGTGTTCAAGACCTTCACTGCTGAGAGCAGCTGAGTGTGCAGCCTGCCCTCCCAGGCCCGGGCCCAGTCAGTAAATCTCCCTCCTCAGGACACAAGCCCAAGGACACAGTGAAGTCCATCAAGTGTGGCTACAGTTACTGCTGACTCAGGAGGACCCTGAGGGCTGCTGAGAAACAGGACAGCCCACACCGTGGCCAGCTAACAGGATGAAGCCCGGAGTGGTGTGAGGACAGCTCAGCAGACAGTGGTGGCCCGCCATCCCCCAAGCCCCACTGGCACTCACTTGATTTTCAGCACATTGAGAGACTTGTTGGATGATGCTGTGATCTCACCGGTCTTGTTTCTATTGATGTAAACGGAAAAGCCGTTGTTCTGGAAGCCAAACTCCTTTGCAACCTAAAATCAAGCCAGAAGGACATGGCTGAGTGAGGCAGTCAGGATCCTGCAACCCACACAGATGCCTCGCTGCCGGGGTGCCAAGGCTTGAAACTGCCCCTCACAGACTGGATACCTCCTGCTACTATGCTCTCCAAGAAACAGCTCACCAGGCAGCCAGCCGTCTGCACAAGGACGTGGCAGTCTGATTCTGGAAAGCTTACAGCTCAGGAAACCTTGAGAGGCAATTCTGGTCTGTCCCGATGGTAACAGTTTGGTTTTGGGTTTTTTTTAAAGGAAACTACTGCTCATACAAATATGACAATTAAAATGAGAAAGGTGGCCCTAGAGAAGGACTGTGTTAGTATATGTAATAGATTCAATCAACTTTCACCTTTAAAAAATATTAACCATGAACCTTAGATACTGTCCCTATTTGCTGCTGATGAAAATGTAAAATGGATTTACATCATCATTGTGAAAAGAATCTTTAAGACAAAGCTAAGGTTCTACACTAGATGTTCTATGATAATTATGACCACTTATCGTGAGGGTGTTTAAATGGCATTAATAAAACAGCATCAGAAAAGGAAGCCATGAAACCTGTCTTTTCAGATGAGAAAAAAAAGCATACAGAAGTTTAATAATGTCTCTAATTTTACTTTTCTGTCACATAGCTTAGAGACAAAGTAACAAAGTTTTCCTGTAGACAAGTGATGCAAGGTACTGGCAAGAATAAGAATTCTTTTAGTGACCACAGCATTACTGGAGTTATAAAACATCCAAAAGGAAAAGGGAGGTTCCCATGCCCACTTCTCCAACTCCTGTACAACCACAAGGTGAACCAGTGCTGGGCACCTGAGACGGAGCCGGGACCTTCACATCGAAGAACCAGCAATGACATTTCACTATGTGGAATCCCATTTTGGGGAAAGCAGAAACGGGTATGTTTGTTTTGTGGTACTCCTGCAAAAAAGACTAGTTCTTCAAACCAGGATATTTTCATGTGCAGGCTCAAATTGACCACAACGCAGTTAAGTGTTTAAAAACCTACCTTAGCAAAGACTTTCCAGAGTGAGGTTAAAATCTCACACCATTACACTAACACCTGATGTGACCTTGAAGTGCGGTAACGTCAATGAGACAAAAAGATATAACAGAGACAAAATTCATCATTTACAAAGTGGTGGTTATTGATTACCTTCGAGTTGAGTGTGACTCATAGCGACCCTATGAACAAAAGGCCTGAAGCCCCTCTACAACAATTGACATTGATCAAAGTTCATAGAGCTTCCAGAGGCATGTTGTTTAGGAAGGGGATGCCACTCCTGCTTCCAAACCTGTCACAGTATGTTACTGTTATGTGCCACTGAGTCACTTGCGGCCCACAGCAACCCTATGGAGAGCAGCTCTGCATCCTTCAAGGTAGTATACAAAACAATGCAGAGCAGGAGTCCACTTAGGGAACATCCAAAATCAACCCGAACCCACTAAGGCTGAATCAACTCATAGCAGGGTAGGACAGTGCAGAACTGCCCAAAGGGTTTCCAATGCTCAAAGTTTAAAGGAATCAAATGGCCACATTTTCCTTCTAGAGCGGCTGGGTTCAAATGTCCAACTTTTGGTGGGACGTTTGCACTACTAAAAATGAACTAATAGGATTTAAGTTTGGAAGCAGGAGTGGCATTCCACTCCCTAAACCACACTGAGTCTGACTCAAAACGACACTCCATCAGGTGTCTCAGTTTGTAAATCTTTATTTACAACCTGCCCATCTCTTCCAAGAATGCAGTGGATTCCAATCACTGGCCTTTCAGAAAGCAGCCTGACACTTAACACTCTCTGCTACCAGAATAGCACAGAAGAAACTCCAGAACCAAGACGTGAGGAGAAAAATCAACAGCCAAGGAACACTCAGTCCAGAGGGCTGCCGGACCACCTGAGCTCACCCGCCCAGCCCAGAGCATTAGACTAGACGGCACTGGCTGCCACTCCCCACTGCTCTCTGATCTGGGTCACAACCCAGGTTCCAGACAAGAAAAACAGAAACAAAAACCTATCTCTGGAAGCTTCCACTAAAATCACAACAACAACAAGGAAAGATACAGAACAAAGCTCAAAATCATACCAAAGACCAGATAGATTTCTTGGCCTGGAAGCACCCAGAGACTGGCCCTGGACAGCCCTCAAGCTTGGAACTGAACTCACCCCTAGGATTAGTTTTCAGCCAAACAGGCAACAGGCATACCAGGTGAACAGCAGCAGCAGGGAGGAATGTGCCCCTCAATCCAGCCAACCAGCTAACCACAGTCAAAAGGGCAGAAGCTGCCAGAGCTCAGAAGGCAGGAAGCAGCAGGACAGGAGGCGGCAGGGAACAGGTAACAAGGTGAAAAGAGTGCTGGGACACGGGGATTATAGTCAATGCCGCAAAATGTGTATTATTCATGATATAGAAACAAATTCGCATAAACACCAGGGGCAGGAAGAGGAGGAGAGGGGACTGAAAAGTGAGCAAGAAGCTGGCAATAAACAATCAGGGGTTGATCAGACATTGTAATTACATTAACCAACTGTAGTTAATGTTATAAAACAAAATGCGTATGATTGACTGAAAAACCGGTATGATTTGTAAACTTATACTCAAAAAAGAAAATAAATTTCAAGAGCAACAATTTAAAAAAATACTATATAACTTGGGAGAGACTGGAGAGCATTATGCTGAGTGAACTAACTAGGCCTCTGAATACTGCCTAAGACTATTGTTGTAAAAATAGAAGGATAACTAGTAAAATGTGTATGGGGACCTCAGAGGGTAAGGGGTGGGGGCAAAAGATGAGGATGGGTAGAGGTGAAACCACAGGGTTGCACAATTTGGTGGGTGGAGGGAAGGGGTAAAAGAAATGGTAAAGATCTGGCGGAAATGCAAAAAGACAGTAATGATGGGCATAAGCCAATAGTGATTAATTTTATAAAACACAATACATGAGAATGATTGTATGAAACACAATGTGAATGAAGAATAACGTGAAACATAAATGTATACAAACTTTGTAAGCAAACCAATATAAATTTAAAAAAAATAAAAATAAAAAACTAGCTCTGAAGGGAGCTCTGGTGGCCTAGTGGTAAGAAGCTGCACTGTAATCCCAGAGGCGCATAGTTCAAATCCACCAGATGCTCTGCTGGGAATCTCGTTCTGTACCAGTCAGATCCAATTTGACAATACACACAAAAAAAAATAATAAAACAGCACTGGTCAGGAAGAAGGACAGAAGCAGCAGGCCTCACTTCACCTCCTCACTTCTGGAGCTGGCACTGCTCCCTGTCTCGACCTGGGATGCACATACTTGGAGGATTTTGGGGTATGCACTTGGGGACGTTTGTATAACCTAAGTGAGTGGGAGGAGGTGGAGAGCAAGAACAGCCCAAGGGAGCAGAAAGTCCATGGGCACAGGCCCAACACCAAACTGGAGGGCGGGGAGAGGCTGGACAGACATGACCTGCAGGAGGGCAACAACAGTAACCGATACAGGATGACCATTTACAGGGAGACCCCAACAAGTATTCCATCATCCTAATTCCACCCACTGTTGTCAAGTGGATCCAGACTCCCAGTAACCCCACAGCACAGAGAACTGCCCCACAGGTGTCTGGGACTGCCACATTTTCCTCCCATGGAGCAACTGGTAGATCTGAACTTGCTGTCTTAGCAACCAAGCGCCGTAACCACAGTGTCACCAGGGTTTCTTCTATCCCCCTAAAGGAACTGGTAACCTAAAACTTTGTGAATCAGTTATGACAGATCATTTCATCCCACCTGCAAACATCAATTTCCTCCCCTGGCAGAAGGCCTCACACTAACTCAGCTCTCAAGGCTACCAAGTATGGAACAGGCGGCTGTCAGCACTTCCTGATCAGTTCGTACTCCTTAGTGCAGCCCATGTGAAGAGAGGGAAAGCCATGGGAAGGTGCAGGGTGCCAGGCCTATTTGGACAGCAAAATGATTAAATGGTAAAAATGGTAGGCTCTTTAATTCTGACAGCCAGCCATGTCCAAAACCCCTTGGGAAGTGAAACTCAGGTCACAAGCACCATGTTAAAACATTCTTTTCTACCATCATCATTTTAACATCTTTTTCATCAAGACACATTTTCCCATCGATTGCATCCTACCCACAAGCATCGGCAGTGAGACAGGGTCAATGCCTGGGCTGTGGTAACTTGCTCAGTCAAGGTCCACAGCTGAGTCCCTCAATACTGCTGCCCAGCAAGCTACCTGTCAAGTATCTGACAAAGGTGGGTGTGCATCCTGCCAGCTGGGCGTCACTGGTCAAAGAACTGAGGGAGCCCTGAGGGCAGCACCTGCTGCACCCACAGCTCTGAGGTCAAGATGTGAGAAGGCTGGACTCTAGACTCCAAGGTCAGGGCCGCCCCGCCCAATCAGTTCCCGTGGAAGCAGAAAAAATGTCCTTGCTGCTGCTGCTGCGTACCATGACTCAGGTGGTACTTGGGGACGAGGGGCCTGTGAACAATGGATCCCTATCCTAACCTTTGTCAGCCTCATCAGCTCTGCTACACTTAAGCCCAGTTAGTTACTGAGTCAATCTATCTCACTGAGGGTCTTCCTGTCCTTCGCTGACCCTCTTTTCTGAGCAGGACGTCCATTTCCAAGGATGGGTCTCTCACCTAACAACATGTCCAAAGGATGTGAAATGTCTGATACATTTCTATTTCTTTTTTTGGCAGTTCATTGAATTTTCAGTACTCGTCCTCACAGCACAACTCAAAGGCATCAATTCTTCTGTCATCTTTATTCACTGTTCAACTCTCAGATGCATAGCATGTAATCGAAAAGACCATAGCTTAGATCAAGCACATCTTAGTCTTTAAAATAATATCCTTGCCCTTTAGCACACTGGAGAGATCCCTTACTAAACTTTGCCAATGTGTCTTTTTATTTCCTGACTGCTGTACCAAGTCTGATGATTGTGGATCCAAGATGGAATTGTTGACAACTTCAAT